TGGATGGATGGATGGATGGATGGATGGATGGATGGATGGATGGATGATTATAGATTTTTGGTTCATGGTAAATTGGGGTTCATACCTGGTCAAAGGTGTCCATCACTCTTACTGTAACTAGCTGCTGATCCACAAACTCTTCTGATGAATAGATATCCTCTAAAAAAAACAACAACCCAGAACACAAAAAGTTCAGTAAGGTTTTCAAAATTACATTCAAACGCTGCCATTGTGGAAGTCTGCAGGGGCGTCGTTTGATCCCAGACACATAATTGGGCAGAGAGTATAAGCTGTAAAGCCTTAGGAGGATTTTGATCCTAATGGAAAGAACAATGAAAATGCTCTCTTGTTTCATTAAGCTGCCCTTTCTCTGTGCCTTTACTTTCCCCGAGATAAGCAGACATGTGGAACCAATACCCAAGCTTAGCTCGTAAAAGCTTTTGTTTATGTTGGAAGCAAGACGAACATGGTGGCCATTTTAGCTTAAGTTAAACATCCATCTATCCATTTTCCATACCGCTTATTCCTAAAAGGGTTGTGGGGGGGGGCTGCAGCCTATCCCAGCTGACAGCAGTCGAGAGGCGGGGTTCACCCTGGACAGGTCGCCAGTCCATTGCAGTTAATTTAAACAAGCAGTGCATAATTTGTGTTTTTACCACGGCATGTAGAGGTGATTCCATGGACTCTGGTCACATTTTATAGCTGTAGCAATAAAAACTACTCAATCATAAACAATTGACCCAAGTGAACTCCCTATACAGTATATGTGGGGAACACATGCAAGAACTTGCTTTCTGTAACTTTACTTCCAACTTTTCCATCTCCATGGGGCTTTTGTTAATGAACGCAAACATTGCATTTGCAGTAGTGAACGCACCTAAATAGGAATTACAAAACTGTTCTCCATAAAGCATCCAAATTGTAATGTAAAGAGACTAAATCCTAGACCTAACTATTTCTAATGTTTGAGTGTTACCTTTCCGACCCTTGCCTTCTTAAAGAAAAACATTGGTATCTCCGTTTTGCCTTTGAAAGGGCGGTACTTAACAGGAATCTGGGATTGATCATTGCATGATATGAATAAACAACCCACACAATCCCCATGCAATAGTTTGAAGGTTATTTGGGCATTCAGTATGAGCAATTCCTCCAAGTTAAAAAAAGGCACTTCGAAGCCCAAAAATGCCAAATGTAACCCTTTCCAAAAATATGGAAAACGATCATTTTTCAGTCCTCCAGAGTTTTGAGAATTGATAAAGATCCTCTTTGCAGCAGGACAATGGCCCTTAGCACACAACTAAGGCAACGCTGGAGGGATTTAAGGTCAGTCTTGGTCAAAGGCCAGGCCTCAGTCCAGGTGTGGATCTGTATCATGACTTTAAGAGACCTAAACTCATCCTGGTTTCACTTTGAAGAAAGGACATATTTCAGAGACTGTTTGCAAAGGTCATGGAAACATACTCTAAGCGGCCTGCAGCTGCAACAGTGAGGGAAATTGTCAGTTTTTGGTTTTATTTGAATTTTTGGTCTTACATCTTGCATGACTGAGTTTCCTATTTTTTCCAGTTCTTGGACATTTCTCAGTCATCGTCCATACAGATTCAGACAGAGCTACAAATTACTTCTTAAAATCAACCATTTTCTTGGCATTTTCAGCACTTTTACAGAGGACAAGTCTTACCAAGATATGGGTCATATTCACTGATGAAGCGTTTTGTCAGGAATTTCACAGTGAGCGCTGCGAAAGAGGAAAACAAATGTTTGTGTGAGTGACTGTGGAGCCCCTGGGAACCAGGGTCAATCAGAGTCCTGAGAAAAGCTCTGCTACATAAACAGCCTCATCACTGCTAAACAGAGAAAAATACAGCACCATGAAGCATGAGACTGTTTGCATCATGCAGAAACTTCCACTGAAAAATCAATATTATTCAATCAGTCTTGTTGCATAGCTAAAATGCTTAGGTTAAATCAACAACATTGAGAAATGTCAAGTAAAAACTGTTTGTCACATTAAAGGTTACTCAGAAACTTTGAATAACAGCTAAAAATCATGAAGAACTGAAGTTAGCCAATAATACTGACATCCATTTGCGGGAGTGAAGGGTGTAAAGTCAGACCTGATTTCCCGCAGCCCATTTCACCGAGGAGCACCAAGTTACATTCAGCACAAGACTTAGCCTTCCCAAACATCCCAGACATGGTTATCTTCAGACTGTTGCAGGCTCTTTTCCCTGGCACTCGTCCTCAATCCCAGCTGGTGATAAGAGAGCAGCGTCGTCCATACAGACCAGCTGGGGCTGAATTAAATTTTTTTTAAAAGCTTGCTTGTTTTTTTCCTTGCAGAAAAAAAGACACACACAAAGTGACAATGAGAAGGGAGGTCTGATTATAGTCCTGCTCTGTGCTGTGGTCGGCCTGATGCTGCTGCTCCCAGGACTGCACAAACTGTACCGTGTGCAACTATTGCACCAGTCTCTCCATTTTAGGAGAAAAAAAAGACTTCAAACGGAGCCAATAAAAGCTGCACTGAAGGGGATGGAAACACTAACTGACTCACTGCGCTGAGGTTATTTAGACAGAGGGCATGTATGCAGCTGGATATTTGTATCATATCACTAGTGAAAGGCTTCAGACATCCTGTTCACATTTTTGTACCTGTTTGTTTTGGCATCAGGACAGAATCTTTTTGAACCCATCCTACAAAACAAAGTTAATAACTTTCACATGCACTCTATGTGAAATTGCATTCATAAAACTTTGATGACAACCTTTAGAATTGTCACCACCAGAATACATTTTGGAAACTTTTCCTGAACATGCATTGAAATGATTGTGACACTGGAGATTGTCCAGCAGGTTCTGCTCTTTCCTTGATTTATATGTGAACTGGTGTAGATTATCTTACACCGATATCATAAATAAATCACAGGAAGTCACGTAGGCTTCATACATACTTGGGGGAATTCTTTACATATCGATTTCACAGGGTTTAATCATTCTAATTCAGGTCCATCTAAACTATTGCCTGTTCAGATCTCATCCAGTAAAACTAATATCACTGACACACTGTTTATAAACAGTTTTCTTTTCTGAAAATATCAACATTTTCTGGGGGGAAAAATCAAGGAAATATGACACATTTTTTTAAATGTCTGGAAATTAGCTGAAGCTGAGTCTCTGCCAGGTTTGTCCATCACGGGCCCACACGGAAACCAACATTCACACACACACATACACACAGACACACACCTTCTAACCCCAACTGCAATCCAACCCAAAGTTTGCCTGAGACATAATGCACATTAAAAATAGTGTGTGGCATGAAAGCGTGTTCACGGCCGATGAGCAAATTTACACAAACTATCCTGTTGCAATCTCATTAAGATTCAACCCTGAAAAAAGACAGTTAACAAAGAGATGCCAAAAACAAGGTGGAGCCAGAGACCCACTTTCACCAAAAAAGGGACAAAAGGCATCTTTAAAGATGTTGCTAAAAATGACTCAGTTATTCCAGGGCAAGAAAGCCAATGAGAGAGGTGTTTGAATCTTTATCTACTGCTGTGCATTATTGCTATTAACAGTATAACTGAGAAGATGAGAAAGATTCACTAATAACAATAAAAGTAGACGTAGAGCACAGTTTCAACTTTAACTTCAGAGGGTTAAAAAAAACTATGATATCATGGACACAGCCCTTCGTGCTTTACCTGGGTGTTGAGATGGGGGCATTGTTCTGTTTGGCTAAATCCTCCTGCACAAGGTCAGCCCTTCAGCTGTCTCTGCACTGTCAGCCAGAACAAAGGGGGACTCATCTGCACGTGCTCGGTGCCATCATCCAGATCCTCTTTCTGCTCTGACTGCATGTAACCCTCATGTACTTGAACTGTGTCACACCTCCCCAGCTGCTATGTATAGCGGCTGTTCTGAGGGCTGTAAAAACAAACAGTGAATGTGTAGCCAGAGGCCAGCTGCAGTCAATCGGAGGCATTCGCTCTCACTTGTTGTAAATCACCAACAGTTCTGTTTTTCAAGCCTCACTCGGAGTAGGTTCGACCAGGGATGCGACGAGTGAGCTCACCGGAGCTATGATGGATCCCAGCAGCTGTTCGCAGTCCAGCCGGGAGTCAGGGAGCCTGAGGGTCAGCGTGAGCGACGAAGTCTTCACCGTGGAGAAATCCACTGTCGCCGAGAACTGCGACTACTTCCGAGCCCTGTTCCGTTCGGGAATGAGAGAGTGCCGACAGGAGGAGATCCAGCTGCGGTGTGTGGGGGCCCTGGGATTCCTGGTCCTGCTCCGGGTGCTGCGGGGAGAGCGGCCCATGCTTAGCAGCGACCAAATCGTGGAAGCCATCCAGTGCACCTCCTTCCTCCAGGTGCCGGCTCTCACCAAGCATTTGATCAGTATCATAGACTCTGAAAACTGTCTTCTCATGTACCACACGGCTGCAACGTATGGAGTGTGGGAACTGTCCCACCAGGCTGCCTTGTTCATCAGAGACATGTATGCCGATCTGAAGGAGGATGTGCGCACGTTGCCCAGCAAACTGGTGGAATACATTGAGTCTCTCCTCCCTAGCAGCTACATGGCCGTCTGCAGCCACTCTCCATCCTCTGAGCTGATGCACGATATTCAGAGGACAGTCTGCTACCTGGACGAGGACCACAGAGACTGGAGGGTACTCACACACCTACCCATCAGCACCAGCACCACAATGGCCGGCGTGGCAGTCCACCGCAACAAGCTGTACATCGTAGGGGGAGTGCATGATGTCAGTAAGAAGGTGATGGAGATGGGCTTCTGTTACGACCCTACGGTCAACACATGGTCCACTATCCGTGGTCCCCAGCAGCTCCGCTATAACTTTACGCTCATAGGTCATGAAGATTGCCTCTACGCTGTTGGGGGGGAGTTTAGCAGAAAGGTCCTCTCGTCTGTGGAGCAGTACCAACTCACCAATGAGAGCTGGGGCTTCGTGTCAGGCCTCCCCTGCCCTGCAGCCTCTGTGGTGTCTGCCATAGCCATGAACAGGATTTTCATCTGCCTTTGGAAAGGGAAGGGAGCGACTGACATACACGAGTATGTGCCTGGACACAAGCAGTGGCATCTGGTCACCACACTCAACCGGCAGCACAGCTATGGCCTTTACATGGTCGCTCACAGGGATAATCTGTATGTGATGCGCAATGGACCCTGTGAGGACTTCCTGATGTGCGTGATGGACAGATTCAACCTAACCACAGGCCAGTGGACAGCCATGTCCGGTCAGTACGGAAACAGCAAGGGTTCTTTGTTCACTGCCGTCGTTAGGGGGGACTCGGTTTTCACCCTCAGCAGACACGTGACCACCGAGTACACTGTAGAGGAAAACAGATGGGGGATGAAGTGCGAAATGAAAGGTTTCGGTAGGATTGGATCCATCTATACGTTTCTGATGAGGCTGCCTTTATCCACCATCGCTTTCATGGGAAACAGCCCGGATCTTACCAAGAAACAAACCCTCCAAGACCTGAGAGTCTGCCCCGGATTTTCCTTACAGTGCTCCGATTACGTGTAAGGGACGTCTGAGTTGGCATCCAAAAGGAAATTTGAAACGGCTTCATGAATTCACAGTTAGGGATGGAACACTGATGACTAATTTTGTGAGTAGCTTTGCTGGCACCATACAAGAAAAGTCGGAGCTACTGGCTCTGTCACAACTTGATGAATGATTTATGGAATATCAGTAGAGCAGGTAGCGACGACCTGGAATAAACTGCTCTATTCTTTATTTTGTCTTCCCTCATCCTATTACTTGGTTATGCATTAAAGTACTGAAGGCATGCATAGTTAATTGGTTATGATCAAATCTTAAAACAGCATGTTTAAGGCACATTAAGAAGATGTAGAAAACACTTTTGTTGGACATTAAGATACTTAAAGCACTGTTTATATTTCTAAGGGAATGTTTTCAGCAGCACCACAGTGACAGATATTTGAAAGTGACCAGTGTCTGGAAGGAAGACACACCAAGGAAAGTGATGCTTTCAAAACAAAGACAGAGGGCTACTAAGTTTAGTTGTTCTAATACAAAATTTCATTTTTTTTCTATCTGCCAGAATAAGCCTATTGTATTAAATTGTGTGTAGATTGTGAGCATCTATGATTGATTCTGATATGATGATCTTTCCCTTCCTGGAGGCAGGAACATGAATGAATGTGCAGTTTTGGCCAATATTTTTCTCATACACATGAGCAGCCAGGCCCTGGTTATGAGGGCCATGTTATCCAGAAAGGGGAAAGCAGTTAAGTTGATATGTTGCCACTTTCAGAGTCTATGTGTATAAAAAAAAGAAAGAAAGAAAAAGTGAACTGTTTTCAAACTTTATGACAGCAAAAACTTTCTTGTCAATACTTGGGAAAAAAAAACAATTACTTTCAGTCATTGGAGGCAGAGTCAGATGTTAATCCCAAAGCAATATGCTGCCAGGTGTTTCGTTTCATGGAAAGCTAATTTTGCAATAGTGAATTTCGGGACAATTGTTGTTGTTTTTTTAGATAGCACAGCTTTATTAAATCTGTAAACAATGATCACAATTACTCAGATCTCTTTGGGTTTACTATAAAGACTCCGGTCAGAGTGTGTTAAAAAGAGCACAACTTAGGAATGTAAAAATCAGTTAATCGAGGTGAACAGAAACTTTCCATTAAGGTCAGGTCGTCTTAGCATAACGCGGCGGTCATCATGCGTCAGGCCACGCGCATCATCAGCTCCTCCAGTGCTCGCTCTCTGTGGTTTTCGTGCACCAGCAGCACTTCCTTGATGGCGTTCTGCTGGAAGCCCATCTCGTTGAACTGACTCAGCAGGTGGAGAAACTCCTCCGCCTGAAAAGAGAGAAGAAATTCATTCCACTTATCTGAGGCAAAGAGTCGACTCAGTGCAGCTCTGCGCACGCCTTACCTTTGCTTCACAGTTTTGAAACATCTCCAGAGCCTCCTCCACCTGAGCCATGTCGTAACCCAGCTGACACAGGTGCTCATATGCCACGAGGTAACTGAACACCTGCAGACACGTTTGAAATCAGACCTCGTACCTGCCAGTTTTCTTTTGGGCAACTATCATTTAGATCACAGTTTTGATCGAAGACTCTCTACCAGGGGAGTGTCCAAGATTTCTTTCTTGGGGGGCCTAGGTTGTTGCAGAGGCTATTGAGGGGGGGTGCAAAATTAAATGTATATGTTTTGTAGATGCAGGCCTGCTTCTACCTGCTGTCTCCTTTACTTGCTGTCTTTGTCCAGTTGCATCTGAGAGCCTTTCTCTGCATATTCCCCCTAAATCCTAAAAAGTGGAACCATGGATTTGGTGGGCTGGTCTCTAAATTCCACTGACCAGATCTCTTCCAGCCAAAGAAAAGCTGGTCCAGCTCGGACTCACACTGCTGGTTCAACTATGGCTTCCTGGAACATAGGCTTTTAGGTCATTCTCCTCTTCCTGTGGAGAACGTTGAAGAGATAGAGTCCAGATGGAGTCAGATACGAGGACCAATAAGAGAAGATGGCATCGCCTTGGACATTTAATAATCAATTTGGGGGGATTTAGTTTTAGGAGGCCAGGCCCCCTTTTGCCCCTGCCTAGACCGGCCCTGCTCTCTACTAGCAATTTCTAGTCCATTAATTTTTTTATTTGTTGGAAAAAAAAAAGGCACATGGGGATAAATACCACTGCAGCTTCACCAGTTACAGCACAGTGACAATTTATATTGTTTGGCAAAAGTCCAAGCCATTAAATGATTCAATTTTTTTTTCAATTTTTTAAAAAGATCTCTCAATTAAAAGAGAAATCATAAAGACAATAATTGTAATTTGTTGAACCGTCAATCAACTAAATAACAGATAAGTTTATAAGTCAGTATTCATATATATTTTGTATAATCATCTTTCCCCAAAGAACATTTTTTGGCTGTAAACCAAAACTGGTTTGATTCCATTGGTTGTTTTGGAATTATTCTGTTCTTGGGAAAACAGGGAAAGATGTGTGGGCAACCGTGTAACTCGTGGCACCAGAAACCCAGCTTATAGCATGTGTGGATGTGGAGAAATTGGATCGCTACTGGACACAGACCTGTGCTTTTTTCTGGATGACATCGTTCATAATGAAATGTCCAGCCTCTGCTGGAGTAAGCGGTTTCGTCGTGTGCATTAAGCAGGAATGAGGGAATCTTCATTGGGAATCCTCAGATATCCTGTATCCCGTCTATCAAACTATACAATCTGTCATAATATAATATATTCATGTTATCATTTCATGTAGACACAACTATGAAGAGCAGCAAATGGTGTGTCATGGCACTTTCAATAATTTATTATTATTAATAACCATGCCAATAAGGAAGAACAGCATTGATGTGGGAGTAGCTGATTGAGGTCCTCAGTACAGGAGACAAGAATTGAAAAAAGTTGGACAGAAGATGCCACAGATAGAGAGGGTAGGAGCAGAAGGGCATGGAGGACATTTTAACACTTTCTTCCTGTAACATCACTGGAAATGTGATAGGACTGGTAGATAAGATGGATGAGATTGGAAAGCTGTCAGGGACATAACAGGCATTCTGAACATGGGGCATTGTAAGTCCTGGCTTTATTGACATGTAAAGCTGTCAATGGTTCTCTCAGGGTTCAATGTTTTATATCGTTCTGCTTTTCTACCTGGTCAAACTTCAGCTGTTACAACAATTTAGTGTGCTGTGTGGATTTGAACACATTCATGGTGCAGTGAAAGATCTGAGCAGAGGCTGGAATAATCCCTCGGATTTGAATCTAGCAGGCCTGAGACATCAGTGAAACACAATATGTGTGAGGGCACAGCACAGTGACCCCCAGCTTCACTATGTTGTGTTATGTTACTCACTATGTAAATCAGGGATTCTTTCTGCATAGATTCACCAGCTGACTGATCAATTTGCGCTGACCGACTAGGAAGGAAAGGCCTGGACATGGATTTCCAACCACTGCAAAACTCACTGGAGTTGTCAGAATGTGCAACTTCAGCCAAACGTACAATACAGTTTGAAAATCTCGCTTTAAGCAGTGAATATGTTCTAATTATTCAGTTTTTGTATGTCTTTTTTTTATTTAAGAGCTATTTTATGTTAGGGGGAGAAAAACTTTGTGATTGGTTGTATGTGTGTGTCCTTGTCTCTTCTTCACATGTTAAATTTCCTCTTCTGTTTTTCTGTTTTCCACCACCCTTGTCCTACAGTTTGAAGTTAACTGTCTTTCGAGCAAATGGGGGGGATCGTGTGATGGGAAAAACACTGAATGGAGAGCAAGCTGTGGAAATCTAGCCATCTATTTTTACACTGGCTTAAAGTGGCTTAGTATGCCGTATTTCTGTTTCATTCCCCCCCTCTGGCCCAGTGGTGTTCTTTCCTCTGTTATTTTTGGACCATCTGTTTTTTTTCTGATTCGATTCCATACTGTAATAGTCAGAAACGCTAATGTAATTTATACTGACCGGGCCGAGTGGTTGTCACTTTGTGGGTGAATCCCAGAGTTCAGAAACATGTGTGTCAAATAAAACCCAAAACACTTTGAATGGTTTGCTATGAATAACTTGAACTTGATGAAAAGGAATGAAAAAAAAAGAAAAATTGAAACATGGCCTTGAAAACTGGTGGGACACAGAGCCCGACTGTGGCCCTGGAAATGGACGTTTTGCTGGAAGTGAATCGAACCTGATCTGGGGTCTGCTGTCCCATCCTCTGCAGGGCAATGATAGCAGTTCGGAGGGGGTAGCCTCGAGCGGTGATGGCCCCCAGGAGCTCCCTCTCCTCTGGGCTCAGAGCGGACAAGAGCTCCACGGACGAATCCAAAGCGGAGGAGAGACCCCGAGGGGGCAAGGCAGTGGGGGAGGCTGAGCGGGCCTCGGATTTTCTGGATCTCTAAGAGCATACGGAGCATAATCAGAGTGCAGCGTGAGCTAATGGAAAAACAGAAGGGCAGGGTCAGTCACTAATGTGATTTTAACAGCTCAGATACTCTGAAATGCTGACAGCTGGCCACAGCGTGCGGCTTTGCTGCGAAACGCATACTTTCTAATCCTCGCCAACCTTTTATAACCTGGCTGGATTTAGCCTTCCCTCCATGCTTATTTTTAGAGTGCAGATCCCTGAATACAATTTGGATATGTGAACTGAAAAAAAGAAAAACGACAAGAGGCAATTTCTACAAACGGGTGAAATCGGGTTAAAGCATGAAGTGAAAGAAAAGGTGATCTGTTTGTCATGGGGTCACATGTTTGACATCACTGATTAGGAATGTGTTGTAAATCAATTATAGTGGACAGTAATAAAACAAGATTCAGGCTAAGTTGGCACCAAGTTCACCATCTGAGCTGATAACAGATCATTTGGACAAACTTCACATAATGTGAAGGCTGTGTTATCAAAATGAATGAAGTTCGATCCATTAATGTGTTATTATGTATATATTATGTATAGAGTAGAAACATTTAATACAATATCATGTTGGGCACTGGCGGCCTTTGTTCGGCACTGAGGGATAGAGGACAGAAAGTGGATCAACATGGGCTCAAACTGCTTCTGGACTCAAAACTGGACTGGCTGTGGCACACCCAAGAGCAGCTCAGTCATCATTGTCACGTCTGGGGTAATTTTGGGAGTTTTGCCCTGTTTCCATGGATGTATTGTCATTTCCTGTTTTATTTTGAAAGATACATCCCATTGTTTCAGGCCACTTGCACTCCCCCTGTGTGTCACAAGTATGCTTGTCTTCCTTGATAACCTATTGCGTACACCTAGGGTTCCCTTCCCTCATGTGTTAAAATAGTCCTTGTTTCCCCTTGTCTTGGGCCAGTGTGTTTCGTCGTTTCGTCGTTTCGTCATTTCGTCGTTCGTCATTTGTCTTTGGATCCATGACCTTACTGAGCATTACCTTGTTCTTGAACCTTGCCTTGCCTCGCCTGTTTAACCTCGCATTCTTTTGCTTTTGATCCTCCTTGTCATTTTTGTTATCTCAAGTGAGTATTCTTTTGTTACTTTGTTTCATAGCCTTTTGTCCTTCCTCTTTCGAGCGATTATATTTTGATGTTCATAGTTTTGTCTATCTTGTTTTGGTACTTTGTTTCCACCCCTTTTTGAGTGTGTTTTTTGTTCAATAAAACCTTTTTGAACCGCCCCTCTGCATCTGAGTCCTGCCTCGAGTTCCGAACTTGACACTCCCATTGTTAGAAATGTTAATGGGTGATGCTCGTACTCATGTGCACACATGGAGTCAGCTCTCCAGGACACAATTGCAAAATGGAAGTTAATTTATAAATGAAAGTACAAAATCTTAAATAAAACGTTGCAAACTGCAGCATATTTGCTGTATGTCACAGGTGACCCCTGCAAGGCACCTCTTCTCTGCAGGATCCCAAGGTTCAGACTCTGTGGTAGAGATTATAGATTGTAAAGTGCACAGTACACACTTAAAATAATAGTGGTGTAAGAAAAGAAATTATAAAGCATGGAAACTCTGAAAAAATATTAATGGTGGAAGAAGAGAAAAGACTTTAAAAGCATGGAAGCTATGTCTGTTATACTTGAGAAACCCAGTAATGTTGGTACAGTTTATTAATCATTACAGGAAAAAATGTTTATCTCTGATAAAAAAGCTTCTGCAGGACATAGTGCTGTTAACTACAGCTGATAATAACGCCCGACTCTTACCATGTGCAGAGCGTTTGGGTAGCTCCAGGTGGAGTGGACTGTGTTGGCTCTGTTGTTGGGGGGTCTGTGAGGCTGTCTCTCTGTCTTCGACTCCTGCTGCGTGGACACGTCCTTCGCTGTGACAGAGCACTGACGCAGGTTCTTCCTCCTCTGGTGCGGCAGGCTGCTCAGACAGGTGGGGGGGTTCAGCAGGTCGGGGACGAAAGCCCTCTGAGGCCTCCTCTGGCAGGGAGCAACAGGCTGGGCATCTCCCGCGTCCACTCTGTCCGACGGGTCAGCTTTGGCTTCCCGTGCGGCGCTCTCCCCTTCATCGTCGGAGTCGGAGATGGTGAACTTAGCACGCAGGACGGACGGGTTGAGGCTGTGGGAGCGCTGTCGCGGGTTAGGCTCCCAGAAGTCAGAGCTGTGACGACTGGCCAGGCGGCTCTGCTGCGGGCTGCTGAACATCATCCAGTATGGTGGACAAGACGGCAGGGGTCCCGATGAGGAGGAGGAGGGGGGCTGAGTTCTTTGCGGCGGAGTGAAACAACTCTGTAGGCCAGCCAGCACCCAGTTCTCCAGACTGAATTCATACTGCAACATGGACAAACAACGAATTAACCACATTGAACTTCTCTAAACGTTCAAACTGTTCAAATGTGAAGACAATGCAGCCTCAGATGTAACAAAAACACATGGCGCAGTGCACAGTTTGATTATTTGGTCATCGAATAGACCTTGAAATTTAGATTTTTTTAAAACACTGCTATAGGGGTGTCGGAATTTATATTAACAAGCCTGTAACCGACACACAAATAGCCTACACATTGAGTCTCAATGTGTAAACTGGGCAATAGAAGAGGCAAATAAAATGTGACACAGCTCTGCAAAAAATACAGAACAGTGACAGACTTATAGCAGCCTTAAAATAGTACATATTAACTGGAAAACTCAAGGAGAAACAGCGAACAAAATTGGATAGTTACCCACCGTCCGTTTTCCAGCAACCAGAGGAAACGTTGGGTGGGTTTTTAATCTCGGCGCCATTGTGTTTAAAAGATAATTAGAGACGCCAAGACCTGACTTAGGTTGCTTCTGATTGGTTGATATTGGGTGATGATTTCGGTGGTTAGTTCGATTTGGGCACAAAGGACTGATGGACTGGTCTGGGATTGTCAATGAGAGTTACTCGAGCTACGACATGTGTTGAATGGGGAAGTAAGAGGTAAGCGTGAGAAATGTCATGTGTGGCGTGTGGCGTGAGAATGGGTCAAATTGCATGACGCTTGGCAGCCCTCTTGAAATATTCACCTAAAAATGGTGGACAAATGCTTCATAAATGAACACTTTGGTATACATATGAGTGTGGGGGGTTTGCCCAGGCCCTGTGGGTGTAGAACCAGCCCCAATCATCACCCCCCATCCCCACCCCCCCCTCCGTGCTGACAGCTACTATGAGTTTTTTGGCTGAAATGTTGCGTTTGGTTTTCTGTGCCTTCTGACCAAACATATTTACTAAAGAGACGAAGCGTCCTCTTTACCCTAACCCTCATAGTCTCTAATACTTTTTAAAATAATTCTGTTGTGACCTTTAACCTGCTAATTCAAGCCTGTAGAGTCTGAGATGTAGCTTTTGGGATTTTGACCTTGGGGTGACCTTGCTGAAACATCCACTCCTAGGAGAATTGAAAGCTGTCCTGAATGTTTTTCCACTTGTGAATAGTAGAAGTAGAAGGATGGGCTCCAAATAGTGTGGAAATGGCCTCACATTTCCCCACATGATGGGGGGCATTCCAATAACCCCCTTTGCGGATTCAGTAGCATGGTGGTTAGCATTGTTGCTCCACAGATTATTGTGTTGCTGTTAGGGAAATCAATATATGTATAATCACTTTCTTAATTTCTCTCTGGTAACTTTCAACAAGTGAATATTTTAAAGGTTATTTTTCTTTCTCATGGGACTCATTCCTCCTTCCAGGTCTCAGAGAGAGTCTCCTTATGCTTTATCTCTGAATGTTTGGTCTGGAGGATTGTTTAATACAGGTGCAGAATGACGGACAGACTTTACGTCTTATTTTATGACTCAGAGAGGGGTATAAAATGCACCATGATTTGTTTTACTTTGGGGCAGTTTGGTGCGTCATATGAACCACTTGTATGATCGTGCTGGCTGCTCTCACTTCATGAAGTTTTCCCCTTCCCTTTTTCCCTTTTTAATAAATTTATATTTCTTACTTCCTCAGATGGACTCAGACTTTTGCTTTAAGATAAAATTTCCACAACAGTTGCATATGGTTATTAGATTGAATCCCAGCCAAGGTTTTTTCTGTCTATCTGTGGGTTCCAAAATTAGGCATATTGAGTTAATTGGTGACCCCAAATGGGCCATGGGAGTGGCTGTAAATGTTGGTTGTCTTTTCCGTTCACCTGTCTGTGGCCCTGCGATGGAGTGGCGATCCCTATCGGCTACCGTACATCTCGTCCAATGACAGCTGGGTTAAGTGGGTGGATGAATAAGCCATTGGTTGTTGTTAATCTGATTCTATTGACCTCATTTACTTGATCATTTTCTGTGAGTGACTGTGTAAGGGGCATAGCCGTCTTATTTTACACTCATCCTTTACTCATCTTTTCCACATCTTTTCCAGTCAGTGATTTTCCAGACTCAGACTTGGAACGGTAGTGAATGTAGTGCAAATGAAGTCCTACACATAGTAGTTATCAAGGTTTTTCTTTAGGAAAGAGTAGAAGAACGCAGGTCGAAAGCCTCCTCACCTCTGCCTCCTGTAGTATGTTAAGGTAATCAGGCACAGGGACCTTGACGTCATCTTTGACTTCCTGGAAGGAAGCAGCCTGGGGGATCTTCAAAGGGACACCTTCCATTCTGTACAGTTAGCTGAGAGACAAACAGATTTGATTTGCAATGTCAGAAAAGTGAGTAGTCCCTGACGCTGAACAGCATCAGTGGTATGGTCTTCCTTTGGCCTTGGAACACTTTAATCTGTGTTTCATCTCTGTCAGGAGAAAGAGACTGAATGCTTTGATTAGAGTTTCTCTCACTAAAATGTATGTGGCTTTTAATAAGTCTCATTTTCACTATGCTTTCTGAATCCCGAAGTTTTGATTTTATTGATGGGAGTGAAGATGCATTCTTACAAAGCAAAAAAGAAACTTTAAAAATACCTAGAAGACCTCATCCAAAGGGATTTTCATAGTATTTCTTCACCCAATTGCATTGATATACTTTTTTTAAATGCACAGATAAACATTAACATGGATAAATGATCTCTTTCATTATGTAATTGAGTGTTGAATAGGCTGAGGTTTTCCAACAAGAAAATAAAACCCTTTTTATGCTTTCTAAATAAATTTTAAACAATGCTCAATTAGATAGCTTTGCACTCTAGGGTGCAGAAGAGAAAAGGTCGACCATCACAAACAGTTTCCAGTTAACCAGGGGGGTAAACATAGTGAGAAAAGCCGGAATCCAAATCAGATTTACTTTCCCAGACGTCCAAACAACAACTTCACCTTTCTATATTGGTGCTGAGTGTTACACAATAAGAAGTGTATCATGAGCACCGGATCAGAGATTACAACCAATGCACTGTGACACTGAGCCCATGTGAGTGGTCAGATGTCCTATCCAACAGACTGTGGATTTTTATTAAATTACTACACTGAAAAGAAAGGATTTGATTTTCTAAGGTTCAGCTGGAGCAGATGGCCTCAGAGTGACGTCGGAGCAGTATGTTAGGTGTCCGTCCTAAACAAAGAGCAAAACAACCAAGCAGATGGCTCAGGATTTCCAGCCGCACGGAGGACAGATGCTCCCAAAAGCTCATTGTGTCGTCTCTGACGTGCATTCGCGAGCTAATGCTGCTGGACAAATGATAGCCAATTGCACGCGACTGCTTTTAAGAAGTTTTCAGTCTGGCTCCAGCACCACCCTATTCTGCTTTAAGACCTATTTTTGGTAGGTTTTTGTCATTGGATGGCATTCTTGTTCAAACAATGTTTGAAAGAACCATCTTTATAACACAAAAAAAAGCCATTTCTAATCATTTTCCAGCAAAATGCGAGCGCCCTTTGCCTAAACCAACACAGCATTAAATATCTCCCCACATGATAAAAGCAAGCCATTGTTCTGCGTTTCCAAAGTAAATGAAATAAGAGTAATACATTTAGAACTTAACATGCGATGTGATGACAATGTTTTTATCAGTTCTTGCTAGCCTTGTTTCTCCATAAACAGGAGTCTTAAGAAAGAAAGAACTTACCTGTGAGTTGTCAGTGCTGCTGGTAGACTGAGGCTGGGACTGAGCAACAGCCAGCAGGCTGGTTGAGAAAACCACCTGGAACCCTAATCCACTAACCTCCAATAACCCACACCAGCTGGCTCACTGCCCAGGGGACGTCAGCAGTCAGTAAATGCATCACAGTGACGCAGCTTACGACACAAACAGCCCATCCATCCTCATTTTGTAGCATGTGTCTGTGTTCATAGCTGCACTTTAGGATAATTAATCAAATACAAGCTCACTTCCTTTTTCATTTAACTTTATTTTCTGCTCAGGTAACAATTACAAAAAGAAGATAGCAGGTCACACCTCAGCCAGGAGTCCCTTTCCTGTCCTCAATGAACTGTAAACAAGTGGTCTCCAAACAGGAGGTGAAATAAGCAATCTGTGTGGTCAGGACTCCACTGCTGGTGTCTGCCGTGCACCTGGTGAGTCACAGGCAGTCCGCAGCCTGCAGGGCAGAAGCCCAGGCCTGGTCCGAAGGCGGCTCCGGCAGGATCCAGCTCTGGGGAACCGCTGAACCCTCGGGATGGTCCTCTGCCACCAGAAAAGCATCCCACTCTCCCCTGAAAGGACAGCAATTGGCAGTAACAAAACGCCAAAAAAAAGGGACGTGGTGCGTTTTGCAGACGGATTAATTTTATGAGTCATAGCATCCCACCCCCCATCATCGTATCCCAGTGACAAATTCCATGAAAAGCTCCATCTTCCTCCTCTGGTGAAACAACATAAGTTGATAAGATTATCAACACCCACCTGATCTGGATCAGAGCCTGCAGGGAGTGCTGAGCCTGGCTGTAATAGTCTGTGAAGGGCTGCAGGATGCAGGCACCTGGAAGCTCCTCTGCCAAACACACATACACACACACACAGCTAACTGGGTGCTGCTGTATAAACATGGCATTGTTTTTTTGTGGGCAAACCTGCTACCTCCGAACAGCATAGCATCCACTCTGCGCCTCCTCTGCATCTGCCTTTCCCTCTCCTTCTTTGCCCGTCTCTCCTGCTCCCTCCGTCTCTCCTCTTCCTGCTCTCCCTCCAGCATCACCATCAGGGCCTTCTCCTCGGCAGAGTACACCGCCGTCCTCCTCTTTATCACGCTCCTCAGATGCTCCAGCCGGCTGTCGAAGGCCTGGTCGCAGGGCAGCTCGGTGGTGATGCCTGAATCCCCCCATGAAGGACGGAGACGGTCACAGAAGCCCCTTTAAAAAAAAAAACCCTGCACACACTTTGCTTCACCTTTCCTGGATGCTGCCTCCTTCCTCAGCTTACGCAGCTTCTCCAGAGATCTTAAGATGTCCTGCATCCTCTTCACGTCCGCCTGCTTCTTCCTCACCTCGCACAGGACTGCGTCCGCGGCCAGTTTCAGCTCCTGCTCCTAAAGCCCAGAGAAGCAGCAGGATTTCCTACCTTTTTCAACAACTGGCATGACGGGCTGGATCTCACCAGTGCAAAATGCTCTCACCTTCTTCTTCTCCTCCACCTTCTGTATTTGCATCATCCTCCACTTGTCTATGGCGGCCTCCTTCTCCAGGCTGCGTTCCTCTGCCTCCTTCTCCTCCATCTGCAGCACCCTCCTGGCCCTCAGGCGACAGGCCCTCCTCCGCGCCGTGCGGCTGAGTTTACTTTTCAGTAGATCGAAACTCTTGGAATCACTGAGGAGGCTCACTTTGTCCTGCAGCTCCTGCTTCACATCTCGAGCCCGTGAATAAGAATCCTGCCACACTGCGTCATTGTGCAGGTTAAGTTGGAGTTTGTGGCAGGAGTCTTCCAGCTGTGAGAGGAGCTCAGCTGCCCTGTACAGGACCTGTCCCAGGGCAGGAAGGGAGTTGAGCTCCTGCTGGTGCTGCTGGGTCCCGCTTGTTTTACCTCTGCTCTGTAAGAAACGCTTGATCCACTCCGTGTCCTGCCTCCTCACCCGGGCCTTTTCATCCTCTGGTTGTTTCGCGATGCCGTCACCTTCCCGCCGCAAAGGAAGGTGACGGCCATAAGGGACACCTCCATCACGGGGGCCGTCATACTGTCTGAAGACCGACTCCGACCCGCCGTCATACCGAGGGGGTTCAGCCCTGAACTGCTGAGGGAAGTTCTGACAGGTTGAGAGTCCAGCGTTGCTGTAGGCACCGGCCGCAGCTGGGGGCGCCATTCTGGGAAAGTGTCCGGGCGGAAGACAGCCGAAAGGAGGCGGCGGGACCGATGGATCGAATCCATACGGAGGAGGGAAGAGGGGGGCCCCGCCATAGCCCACGCCTCCGTGAGAAGATGCGCTGAAGTCACACCCAATTCCGTACGGGTCACTTACCGGTGAGGGTGTCCACTGTGGAGCCGGGTGGCCCGGTAGCGAGGATGCTCGCTTCCCCGCGGCGGCGAACTGAGTCTGCGGGTAGCCGCCGTCATGGACCGCCTCTAAATGAGCTGTGCTGTCCATGCTGGTAGCAACTCACTGAATGTTGGAGACTTTCAGAGGAAAAACACTGAAGAGGACCATGGTTTCAGCCATTTTTTTTTGTTACGTTACTTCTTCTTCGCGTTAGGTTCCCTTACTTTGTTATTGCTTTTTTAATACGTAAAACTCGCTTTCAGACTTATTGCCGCCCCCTCTGGACTGGAGTGGAAGTCCCACTTCTGAAGGAAACAGGCGGAATGAAACAACGCAATCAACAGGCTAAAAATGCACCCATTCAATGATAAAATATGACAGAATTGTATATTTCTATTCTACTTTCCACCTATGATTTTCCACCTTTGTTTTAATAACCCCATATATTGACTTTAATACTTCATTTATTTATTAGTTATTTATTTCTGTTATTACATTCCATTTACATGCATTTATTACTACTATATTTTTCTTTCTGATTTTCCTTCATTTATTTACTGGGGAAATTGATTTGAATGTGACTACTTTTTAATTGATTTTAAGGGCTTTATAGATTTGGTGGTACTATTATCATTGGATAGATCACCTTTGATTCAGAACTAAAATTAGTGCTGTGATCTTGCCACAAGGGTATGCTGTTACCATTCCCTGTTTTTAAAATGCATGATTATTTGACTTTTACCTTTTAATTTCCATTTTATATGTATCTTTGGACATTTTCTCTGATCTAATTTCCAATATTTTTTATGCCAATACCTATTGGAAATATTTAGTGAATTTTCAATATTCCTGTTAGATTTAGCATTTATGAACCTCCATTTTGAGGAAGTTGATAAACAGTGGTTGTATTGATGTGTCCTGTCATTTCATGCATGAGCAGAGACCAGCAGTTCACTGTATTCTATCCTGATCAATGTATAATGTGCAGATGAATTACACAGCATCCTGTGTTCATGGCAGATTAAAATCATAGAAGCACAACAAGGTTACTAGATATTTAAATTGGGTGCTGTTGAAAACTTTGGTGACAGGTAAGTCTTGTTTTATGGATGGCACTTTAAAGACAGATCTATAAGGTAGTAATATATATCAACAATTATATTACAATTTAACTGGGGTATTGTTGAATGTAAAGTTGAATGAAAATCAGTATGAAAATACCATTAATTAATAATTAATGTGAGTTTCCAAACTTTGCATTGATTTTCTCCCTCTTTCTTTTTATAGAAACTTTAGAAACTAAAAATCCTGGAAAGAGCTTTTATCCTTAAGTTTATTCAGTTTAGAAGTCAAAGCAGTGGAAGTAATTTGTGCCAGGAGAGTTCAAACCTTTGCAGCCACTTTTCTGTCACCTCCTGGCATCAGTTTGAGGTCATGAGGAGTTTTGTAATGTCAGTCTGAGGCTAAGACATCATCAATCATCAATATCAGATTGGACTTTTTTATCATTATGTTTTTTTCTACCACAATTTATGAGTGATATTTTAATCCTTGCCTCTACACAGATTAAACATTAGCATTGAATTTTCCGGTTAGCAGATTTTCCTTTCCTTCATAGCCTGTCTTGTCAACATCATTACATTTGAAGTGATAAATAAGCAGTTCTAGTTTCTTTTGTTGCAAAAATGCAAATGTATTGTACAAAAGACAAAAAGTAATAAATAATCAGTCGCTCTAGTTTATTCTGCAGCAGACTAGTAATTCCTGATCATGCAGACCGGCTTCAGGAGCCAGGGAGCTGTAAAGTACTTATTTTTGTCTGCAAACAAAAGTTTTCACACTCAAACATTTTACACATAATCTGCTATTTTACTTTTATTGCATTTTAACTAAGAACACGTAAAAAATAAGTGCAACCTTCTGTTTCATCTGACGTTTGATTTGCACAAACGATCGTGGACACTGTTTTGGGCATCAAACCAAGTATAATCTATATGCTGTTACTGTTGCTTTGCACCACTTCCGCGTTCGGGGTGACGTCAGCACGTGTCTATTCGGGGGCGTGGCACGGCAGAATCTTTGCGGAAGTGTGTGAGCGGGGAGTCATATGACCAAGCACCAGCCGGAGAAAATGTTACCCCGATATGGATAACTGTGCCCGAAGACGGTGACTAAACTGTCCCCCAGCAACGTGACAACCGTGGCCTGAAGTCGTGTTTCCGACACGGTGAACTTTGGCGGTGAGTGTGAGCAAGCCCCCGGGCCAGTAGCCGCTTGGCTAACCCAGGCGCCCGACGCGGTTAACGGATCTCAGCTGGAATCGTGCTCTCTTTACGTGACTTTTTGTCTTTTTCTGTGTCCACAGATGGAGGAGATAAAGGTGTCTCCTGACTATAACTGGTTCAGAAGCACAGTGCCCCTGAAGAGGGTGAGTCCCCCCATCAAGTGCACGCGATGCGACGATGTGCTGCAGTGGACGTATTTCACAGCCCACGTGATCAGTGTGTTATTGCTGGATATATTTGACAATTCTTTGAGAGGACAGCATGCAGCTCAGCCCATCCCTCTTGTCATTTCCGCCTGAAAAACATTTACCTGCTTTTTACACATCGGTGCTGAATGGATGTAATGGCTACTCTAACATCTGCTGGGCCATTAGCACATCAGTGGCTAATATTTGTGTTGTAAGATGATTAAATCGGCATGTGAGCCGCACTACCTGTGTGGTGGTGACTTAGACTCAGCCGACTGCCTGGAGGGAGTTTAGGATTAAAGTTATCGATGCCATAATTATATAACAGCAAAATTCGAATTAAAAAAAAAAAAACTGTCATATTTTACCAGCATGTAGTTGTGAGGAATAAACAAGTGTGATAACAGAGGTTTTAACAATCCATTAGGGGACTTTTTTATTTCACTCTTTGGTCGTTTGTTTTCATTCCAATATCCAGATTTGCTGTTTTGATTTCAGGATTTTAAATGTCAGTTGTACTGTCATCATCAGTGACTGTCTTATGATGGCAGCACCAGCCACACTTCTGCAAACTGCTGCTGGAGGATGTTTACAACCTAAATTAAGATTAGGTCAAATTCACTTCTTCTTTTCTGGGTGGAAGCAATCAGTTTGGTTGTCGTTACAGGTTTTGGATGAAAGGTGATTTATTTAACAGCCACGGCATGATTGAGTTTATGGTGTAATGACTTGAAGTTCGCTGCCCCTAAAACTGAGTTCTGGTGTTAAGATGGGGGCGAGCTTACGCTCGCAGCTACTTCATATTTGGGTCTGACGTAAAGTCCGATCAGCCCTTCCCTCTGCCAGGAAAAAGAGCAAATAACCTCCGACTGAGCCCGTCTCACCTCATCACTGACCGGCTTAAGTCTCTGGGAGCTGATTTGAACAGTGTGTGTGTGTTTTGAACTGTCAGCACTTTGTTTGGAGTGTGTGCTTCTGCTATGAGGTTTTACCTTCATGAGAAGTGTCTGTGTGTATGTGTGTGTGTCAGGAGGTCCAGTCATGTGTCACATGCTAACAGCCCCACACACTCTGTTCCACACACACTCTGCTCCACACACCCTCTGTTCCACACAGACACACCTCTCACCCTCCCATGTGTGCGTCTCTTTCAGATAATCGTCGATGATGATGACAGTAAGGTATGGTCTCTCTATGATGCCGGCCCAAAGAGCATCAGATGTCCCATCATCTTCCTCCCCCCTGTAAGCGGGACCGCTGAGGTCTTTTTCCACCAGGTTTTGGCCCTAACCGGCTGGGGCTACAGAGTCATCTCGGTGAGTTCCCTGCTGGCAAACCCCCGCAGCCCGTGTCCCACCCTGTCCATACCTCCTCCACACACCTCTGAGCCTGCATGGGAGGAAACAAATGCTTTTCCAAAAAGAAAGAGGGGGGAAATGATCAAAACGCCTCGGGTTCCCCAGTTATAGTAATCTGATTCTGAACCTTCAATAGAATGTTTACATATCTAATATTCATTTGATGTGTAATAATCAGTTTTTCGTAATCTGGGATTATCTGTTGAGCCCATCTGACACAGCCTTGAATCAGGAACCAGCATTTCCTGTTATCAGCAGAGCCTTTATGTCTCCAGCCTTTGAAGTGGCGATGTGACCAGATTCTGTTCTGAATCAGTGACAGCAGCAGCATTCTTTTCCAGCTGCAGTATCCCGTGTACTGGGACCTGACCGAGTTCTGTGACGGCTTCAGGAAGCTCCTGGATCACCTGCAGCTGGACAAGGTAAGGGTCTGGCTATGTTTTTTTTTTAAATGAGATTAAATAGAAACCACCCTGCTCACCCTCCTGTGCACTCTCTGTGGAATCCTGTGTCCTCCCTCAGGTCCACCTGTTCGGGGCGTCTCTGGGCGGATTTTTGGCTCAAAAGTTTGCCGAGTGTACACATAAGTCCCCCAGAGTCCACTCTTTGATCCTGTGTAACTCCTTCAGCGACACCTCCATCTTTAACCAGACGTGGACAGCAAACAGGTGCTTCTATCGGTGGGCTTGCACAGTGTGCCGAGCATCTCTGCTCCCCGTGTTCATGCTTTAACTCTGTCGGCCCTTAGCTTCTGGCTAATGCCCGCCTTCTTACTGAAGAAGATTGTCCTGGGAAACTTTGCCAGAGGACCCATGGACCCTAAAATGGCGGATGCAATCGACTTCATGGTGGATAGGGTGAGTGGACCGGGGCTTTATGCAAAAGCAGGCATTCCCACATCAGGAGCAGGAGCATTCCTGAAGACACATCCTTCCGAATGACACAATCCTCTCTGTCCGATATCAGCTGGAGACCCTAAACCAAGGGGAGTTAGCGTCCCGGCTGACGCTCAACTGTCAGAATTCCTACGTGGAGCCGCACAAAATAAAAGATGTGGCAGTGACCATCATAGACGTAAGCGTCCCAGCAGGTGAACTGCATCTGTGTGTCACTGCCGACAGCTGAATGTAGTTTCTGGTTGGTTTGCAGGTGTTTGACCAGAGTGCTCTGTCCTTGGAAGCTAAGGAGGAGATGTATAAACTGTATCCTAATGCCAGAAGAGCTCATCTGAAAACAGGAGGAAATTTCCCATACTTGTGCAGGAGTGCAGAGGTCAATCTCTACATACAGGTATGCTCTGTTCAGTTAGTGCTGCTTACAGTGTCTGCAGCTCCCTGCATGGTTATATGGCAGTTTGGGATATTTTTGTTCGCTTTACTCATTCAGAGGTGTATCTTGGTGTTGTAACATGAAAATGGCTGAGCAGACAAGAAGCTGTTTGGGGCTTTTCTTTAGAAATTAAACGAAATTTAAAAAACATTTGCAAAGTTCAGTTTTTTTCTTCTACCCTTATTGATTGCATTCTGGATTTGGAACGTCACCTCCCAGAACTAGTAAAACAAACACTAGCTACCATTTGTTTGATGTGTGTAACACACTGATAACATAAGTTAACACAACTGTTTTAACCTCTTGAGAGCCTGGTGCTCCTCTGTGGACGCCGCATTTCTGCCTCTCTTTACCATGATCCTTATTTTTATTTTTTCTGTTTTTTTTATCTTTGACCTCTTGGCCTCATAGCAGACACTCTCAGACACTAATGTTTGAGGTCTAACGTAAAATGGTTTTAGACATTTTACACCAATCATGTTCTTATTGTGGAATTAAAATGTTGTAAATAAGTCAAGTAATAAGTAAATTTGGACCTTCAGAACCATATTGCAGAGAAAACATTTAATTAAATATATAAACAAACATGTTTAATTTAAAAATAAACCCACTAAGCTTAAAGAAAAACTACCTGTACCATGACAAGGTGTAGTTATTAAACGTATTGGGTCCTACTGATCCCAGATTTCTGGAAAATAAAGCAAAAATGCACACAAAATAAAAGCTTGGGTCTCAGGAGGTTGAGTTGTTTTTTACAGCCTGTCACTCACATCAGCATTGACTTTATGAGGTATGCTTCACTTGTGCTCTGTAATCGCACACCAGTGAACATATCTAGGGTTCAGACCACTGACATTTAGTAAAAATGCATTTTGGCTGCACAAAGGCAAAGCCTGAGGCCTCCACATGACATTTCCAAATTGGATTTCACACTGAGCAACTATCTGCAGAGAACAAACACCAGAGGTTTAATTTAAAACAGGAGGTTTGGATTGCAGATGGGGTTTTTCCGTAAATCTGGCAGCAATGAAAAGAAACAACCTAAATACTTTAATCTTCTCAGGCCGTCCCGACTTGCTTGATAACATTTTTCTCTTGGGTTGATGCACAGATTCACCTGCGTCAGTTCCACGGGACGAGATATGCTGCCATAAATCCTGCCATGGTGAGCGCGGAGGAGTTGGAGGTGCAGGAGAGTCACCTGAGCTGTAACCAAGACTCCGATGACAGCCAATGAGACCACGCCTACTCGCAGGCCGACTCCAAAATCTGTTCTCTACTTTCAAAAGGATTTGCAGTGATTTCTACTTTTGAACTCTACAGTCAATCAGCAGCTGAAAATCTTTGTACCCGACAGAAGCAATATTTTGATAATGACCTGTACATAACTGTTTCTTTGCCATTGCTTTGCTTTCAAAAACAAAGACAACACCTTGCCTTATGTAAAATGAATCGTTGTATTCGTAAACTGCCTGAAGTGAGACGTGGACGCGCTACTGATGTCCCATGTGTCGTAAGCAGTGGCTAACAGGAAGCCAGCTGCCTGCTGGTTTGCAGACCAGTGCACTGCCTGTGATGGGATATGCTGTAAATCTATAATTGTTTGTATCTTTCACTGAGATGGAAATACATTTTTGCCATTATTTTTTTTCCCCTCCTTCTGAATTTCATGTGTACTTGCTTTATTTCCGGCTAATTAGGAATGCACCTACACCAAGGCCTCAGAACACACTGTAGCTTCACACGGGCTTACCAGAAACATCTTGCATGCTTGTTGGGGAACTGGGCATATTCAAGGGGTTTTGGAGCAGACTGTCAGATGCTACACACTGCTGGGGAGCAGCTCTCATCAGGAATGTTGCCTGAGCGTGCACAACTGTGAAATGAAAAAACAAAAAAACTCCCATTTGAAAAGGTAGAAACCTCCCTTAGAACCAGAACGGGTTGATCTGTCCCACTTCATCAGGGCCCAACTGTCAGCTTCAACCCCAGGGCAGACTCTGGGGACATTAACCCGATCTCATGAGGCCTGACACACATCAGTCATAATGTAGAATTAGACTGCAACTGAAGTTCTGAGCAGTCTGCTGCTCACATCACTCACATCTTACCGCTCTGAGGTTTGAAAAGACACTTTTTAATCTCTATCAATTCCATTACACATACACCAAAAAAAGAAGAAAAAAGTTAGCTAATTTGTGTTGTCAGTTTTGTTGTTTCTAATCATGAAACGCTAATTTCTATTTACGCTGGACTTTCATAGCACGTCCGAAAAACACTGAAACTCTCCCTAAAACCAAACAAATTCCAAATCTGAGACACCAAGTCAAACTCAACTCAATAATACAATACAACAGTGCTCTGCTTTCAACAACAACCCCAAATTAAGTGATGAAAGAACAAAATGTGCAAGATGTGAAGTCAAATCACCATAACTGTGTGGCACAAGACAATGCTTTAAGGCATTCAAACTGTTAAAAAAAAAAAAAGGAGCATCAGGAGCCCTAACAAATATATTAGATAAAAGCACTTGTGCAAATTCAAGACTTGGGATTAATGAACAGTTCATACTTCCTGTGTTATGTTTGTACAGAAAAGGCCTCCAACATTCACATGATAAGAACACATAGTTCAGCACAAAAACAAAAATGGAGATTAAAAGTAAGGTGAGGGTCAGTAGAAAAAGGTGCCAAAGTCGCCCCGGCCGTTGCGTTTGAACTGGTTCCCCTGAACAGACACAAAGATCTGGTGCTCCATCAGATCCTGGACGGCTCGGCTGCAGCTCGCCTCTTTGTTCCTGCTCTGCTGTCGGCTGAACTGCCACTTCCTGCCTGTGGCAAAGGCCGCGTCGCCATCTGAGCCGTTGCTCTCCGCCAACTCTGGCTTAGGAGTAGTGGACGATGAGGTGGAGATGGTCTGTACAGCTGCTGCTGATCCCTGCTGTTGATCAGCTGTAGGTACAGGTGGGTCTCCTGGGAAGAAAAAAAATACATGTTTTCATCAGGGGCTCACATGATGCACCTCTACTTCATGTTCATGTGACATTATTGTTGTCATTAACTGCCGTCATGGGTTTTGTCCCCTACTTTGTTGGAATTTTATTGCCCTGATTTGATTAAATTATGGCTGGATTACAGCTATTTGGATTAATTGGATTGTGCCTTTGAAGTGCACTCGATAAACAGTCTGATTCGGCTAAATACACCAAATTATAAATTGATGCTCACCTTCACTTGGTTGGTCTCCATTTCCTGGTTTCACAAGAATCACCCCGTAGCCCTCGTTGTTGTGGATCACATTGTTTTCCATGGTAATGGATGGCATCCCGTCAAGATCACTGGCAAAGTCCTAAACACACACACACAGTGTCAATAATCTGCACTTATAGTCGTTTGATGAGTCCAGGGAAGTTGTCCTCATGCTTTTACTCATCTCCTTTGTAGGCTAATTCTGCTTATCCTTTCCATATCTCAGTTCTTAAGGAGAGACATTTTGTGGAGGATTTTCAGAATGTGTGCTGCCTCATGGCACCTTTTTCTTTCCTTGAGGAGTTTGCATGGTCGACAGGTTCTAAGGTACTTATAGGCTATCTCTGTGTTTCCTCGTGCAGTAAAAAAAAAAGCATGCAGGATAACTGGAGACTCTAAACTGGTCCTGGCCCTAAGCAAATATTATATTCCAGTTATTCACGGGTATTTATCAGTCTCGTACGTTTCCTCTTATAAAGCAAATATTGTTCACAAAAAGATATTATCGCACTTTAGCTAGCTACTAGGTTTAATCTTATCATCTTTTATTGAGTATTTCTGGAGAAAACCTGGTGACTGAGCAAGGTTTAGGTAACAGGAAGCCACTTGTATGATGCAAATTTGAGGTTGGATGCATCGTGAAAGTTGAAGTAAGCATGCCCATCTATCTATTTAATAATCATAAAATCATCATAAAAACTAATCATAAAAAATGAATTAGTTCCCACGTCAGATAACGAAAGGATGAAACCAGCATGGATAAAGTGACACATGCAAGATAACGTGGAGGACAAGAGTGGAAATAAAGAATGAGAATAGGTTTTAATGCTGTCTAAAAGAATAATGGTTGGTAAAGAAAGCTCCTTCAAGAACTTTGAAGAAGAAAATGTTTCTTTGTTTTTTTGTTTGTTGTTGGGTTCGTCTCAATGTCTTGATTTTATTTGAACCTCCTCCTACCCAAGTACTACTCACCACAACAGCTCCCTTTCTTCTGCCAACAAAGCAGATGCAAAGTGTGGTGGATGCTTCTACCACCACCAAGTTTTTTTTTTATCATTTACATTGATTAGTTCCAAATGACACTATATATAACTTATGGTCAAGTTATTTAACCGGCTGGAGGAGGAAGTCAGGAACAAACCACTACTCCAAAGGACTGAAGGGGGTAACTTTATTGATTGAAGCTGAACTTAGTTATTTTGTTATTTTAATATTCCCTTACTGTGCCATGTTAAAGATGATTTTGCATAATTTGTTCAGGTTAGGTTTTGTTTGTTGTTCCTCTGTTATGTTGTGCCTCCCTCATGTGGGAAGTTTAGGTCATGCCACCCCTATTTAAGCAGCCTCGGATCTTTGTCTGCAGATAATTTTGTTTGCCTTTTGTAACTTTTCAGTTGACCTCAGTTGAGGTGGGCCAACATTTTTTAGTTATTTGAGTTGTTTTGTTTAATTTTAAAATGTTTTTCAAATTTTTAATCCACCTTTTGTCTTTGTTACAGTCTGGTCCCTTACAGAGAAAAAAAAATCTGTATTTTTGTTAACTTTAACGTTTTAATGATGATGACTTTGGCCAGAGTTGGTTGCTTAACTAGACGAAACACAACTCCAACCTGAAGTAAAGTAACGCCAAAATACGCTGCGCAAACCTTCCACAATAACCAAGACCAGGTTGTAGCTTTTCATTTTCCTCCATATTTGTCTTTTTATGAGTTGCTTTACTATGCTCCATTTCTAATCGCCTACATTCTCCATTAGTAAGTTATCATTTAATAAACAATCACATATAGTTAACACATTGTTGTTTTGATGTTTCTTCAGGTTATTTAGTACAAAGGAGAATCCAAACATTTGGGTTTTGTGAGAAACTGATACAAGATCTGTAAAAAATTTCCTCCAATAGAGAATTTGGTGCTCCCTATTAGAGGTATATTTAAAACACAAGTCTGAAAGCTACAGTGTGTTTGATTATAACTCAAGCAATCAGCGTTTTTCTATTGGGATCAGAAGCTTGAGCTTCTCCTTATCCAGAATGTATGTAAATAACACAACTTTTAAAAGTCAGCAGGATTCTGTGGGAGTTGTTGATCCAAACACTTAAGAAGTTGGTTCAGGTATTCGGGGAAGGAAGCATCTTGTCTCACCTTGATGAGGATCCCGTCCTTACAGTGATGGACTCCATTACCAACCAGACTGCACACACTGCCAGGGTAAATCTCCACACCTGCACCCTGCACATCAACAGACAGCTAAACACTTATTTGGGTGCAACAAAACCACTGATGCCAGCAGGCAGATAACTCTGTTTGGGAGAGGTTGTGGTTCCACTGGTTAGAGAAGCATGCAGGAAGCAGTCCTCTACCCACCTTGGAGCCGTATAGATCACACATGTTCATGGTCAGACGGGCAGACGTTCGCACAATGACGCCGGTGGTCTCACACTGCAGCACACAGTTCTCCATATTCAGGGTCCCCTCGCGCACACCTATGATCAACACACAGAGTTCGGTGTGTCATTCTGTGTAAGGTTTATCACGCAAACATGAGCCAGCTTAGAGTCCAATCGATGGCGCCTAAGAAGTCATTATATCACCTTATCTACGGAGTTGTTTGTGTCAAAGTCTCCAAATTGTGCTCGTTTTTTCAGCACCTAGTGCTGCAGCCTCACAGAAAACTGGCACATTCATTAGGATGTCGTGCTCCGACGAACTCTGAGCAAAGCTGGTACAAAGAAAGCCCTGAAATGGTTTTAACTGTGACTTCTTCCCATCAATGTCAAGGCTGAACAGAGTCCCTTTGATGTTTGTCACTGTATCATTTTCTGATCAAACACAACAAAACTACATATGGATGCTCTTGGTGGGCTGTCAGTATGGGTACTCACACAGAATGCCTTCAATGGCATCATGCTGGATGAATTTGATGTTGGATAGCCTCACATCGGCTCCTGTGGACTCCACAAATGTGTCACCTTTATTCTTCTTCTCAATGACAACTTCATCAGGAAACCCAAAGCCTTCCACACAGAGATGAGAAATCAGTCAATTCATAGCATTATGACCCCTCACACACCAATACAATAATACGTTTGAGCCCTCAAAAGCAAACTGACGCAACAGAGGGAAGTTACATTCCCAACAGGAGAATGCAATCAAACTAAATTACTTTGATGAGGAATTCCAAATCTGAACCTTCATCAGTTCAGTTTTCATCTGTCGTCAGCCAAAAACAAACAGAGTGATGATTCTATTCACTGTACAGTAGGAGAGTGATGTTCCTTTACCTTCAATAGTTATAGAGTCTGGGATGATGATGGAGCTGCTGACACTGTAGACCCCTGGGAGGACAATCACCACATCGCCCTGATGGCATGCGTCCACCGCAGACACTGGCTCCTTGTGGAACTGAAAGAGCACAGTTCACACCCTTATTGTTCAATTATACACAACTGTTTTCACAGAGAGATGCAAACAGTTCAGCTTAGGTGTCGGTTACAGAGCACCTGAGGCCCACAGAGGAGATTATTCTTTACAGGATCAGTGTAACATGGATATTTTTTGTTGAACTGTTGAAAAAAGGAAAATATTATCTGAGTCTGGTTCATTGGTTTTTATCACAAGTTCCTTGTGTTTAATTTTAATTCAAATGGGATAGTCTCCTCCTATGGTGTTGAAAGATTTGTGATAAAAGATAAAAAGAGGGCTGGAAGAGTACATTTAATTAGATCAATACAGCAAAGACAAAGACAATTTAAGTTTTTTAAAGGGTTTTTTATCCAGGGTAAGGGAGGGCAGCTTTAAGGTTGAAGAATATCTAAAATTCATATTCAGATCTTAGGCAGTGTAAAGTCTTGTCCTGACCCCACCTCCTACACCCTCTTTACTTTCATTACCCCCTACCAGAACAAGGCTTTGCATCCCCACCCCGCTTTTAGTAACAGTTGCTTGGAGGATAGGGTAGTGCATCAGAGCATTGTTTGTGAAAGAAGCCATAGTTTTTGTGGTGTGAGGAGCAGTGATGGCCGACATTAGGGGAGCGACTCTGGGATGCCAGTGATCACTGTCTAGCCTACTCAAGTTGTTGTGCGCCCATCTACACTAGATATCTGATGAAAGGAGTTTCCCTCCTGATTACCCCTATGACAGTTCTGCTACTGGTTCATATAGGGATACTAGCTTAATTGTTGACATATTCTGGACATATTCACCAGCAGATACCTTACAGCTTGTAATCAGCTTAGAGTGGTTTGTTCTGTTGGCCACCAACTGGCTGTCATGTTAAAAAAGCACCACTTCAATAAGTGAAGTTCAATCCTGATCCTAAATTCTTCCAACCTGCACTGCTGCTTATTGCTGGTTTAACTATGAAACAGCACCATCTGTCAGTTCTGAGAACCTGTAAACTTTTGAGTCTGTCTTTTTTTTAAAGAAAACGACTGGAGGAAATATGATTGAGTCAGCAACTGTGCACCACTGACCTGGATCTCAGTGTCTTCGGAGGAGCACAAAGGGATCAGGCGAGCATCGAGGAGGGACTGGAGCTGAATGGTGCTACAGGAAGATGTCACCACGTGAACCACTTTCAAACCTGTCGCTCTGAGCCCACGGCTCTTCACACACTGCTGCCTGCAGTTTCCTTGATAAGCCAGCACATATCTGGAAAGAATGAGAATAAGGAACGCCTTGTCATGGACAAAGAAGGAAATGAGAGACGAGGAGCTGCGAGAAGAATGATGAAGGACTAACCTTAGGAGGGGGTTTTCAATGATGTGTAATTTGCGCTTGTATGTCTCCAGCTGGTCATAAAGCTTCAGGCCCTCCACCATAGACACATTGTCCAGCTCAGAGTCAGAGTCAGCACTGAGACCACTGCGCAGCTCGCTAAACTGTCTGAAACATTGTGAGCACTTGCCCAGTAGGGAATTATACTCTGCCACCAGGCCGGCAGGAACTCTGTCCTCCAAGATGTCGTAGTGGCTGCCAAAAGACATTTTCAACATGTAGCTTGGACATGAACCAACACATTGTGACACAAAATTTTGCAGAAGACACTCGGGATGCTCACAGTCTGAGACGAGGCTCCACACAGCGAACAAAGTAATCAAAGTCATCATCCTCATCTTCTTCATCCCATGTCCTCCAGATGTGCTGATAGAAAAACCTGAAGAAACAAGGTGGATGACAAAAATAGATGAATCGATTAATTTACACCGCATATACAACATAAACAAATAAATTGCTTTCTTCGAACAAATAATGCCCAAAAAAATAAGGTCATGCTTCTTCAAGTATTTGCTAATAAAAGGTTTTATGGGCTCCATATGAGTGTTCCCTCCCTGCTGAATAACTGAGGAGAATCTCCAAATTACTAAACTCCTCCTTTGTAACCAGCCATGCCATTCTTAAAAACAAGGAGGATAATAAAAAAAAGGGATCAGACACTGTGATGCAGTTTAAAATCATTTCCTCATTGTTGCAAAAAAACTGACTTTCTCGAATCAGAACTGACGTCAACCCCATTTGCAACACATGTGGGTTCATACCAGCTAATTTAATGCATATGTTCTGGTCCTGTCAAAAATGGTTGCATTTTTGGAAAAAAACATCTTCCACATATGGGGGCAAACCATAAAAACCCTTATTCATTTCATAATTGCAACTGGATCAGACAAGTCTTGGGTTATACTCATTTTGAAAAAAATTAATAAATAAATCAGGCACAGTGTTTCACTCACTTTAGCAAACTTTCATATCCAATGTGGAATTGTACAGTCTATTAGTGACATTACATTGTTTTAAATCTTTTGGAGTTGGGTTGGGGGTTCAAGTTTTTCCTCATCATTGTTTTTGATTGTCTGATGTCTGTATTGGTATTATTATATAATCACATAAACTCAAAATAAAAAAAACTAATAAAAAAAAAACTGCACAGGATAATAACGCCAAGCACTATAAGTCCAAATAGTACAGTTCTACCTGAGGTGCTCCAGAGCAAGAGCTGTCTGGTCAAAGTCTCCAGACTCATCGTAGACCACCTGGAGCTCTTTCAGGGGGACTTTGTCCTGAGTGGCCTCCAGGAGAGAAGCCATGGCCTCCTCGGTGAGTTCACAGCCTCTGGTTTCACACTGCAGAGGCAGCACCAACTTTACACATGCCTTCAGATCCTTCAGATCCAGATCTTGCACCTGAAACCATAAGCAGGATCTAGTTAAGCAAAGGCGCTGTGAGAAATTTGTTGAAGAGATTACTAAAAGAAAGTGACAGTTACATACTACAAATAATTTGGAAGAAGGAATATTGAGCCTAATGTTTAAATCAGCTTAACTAGATGTGAGAGCTGGTCTCACCTCCACCAAAACATCAAAGACGTCAGTACACCATAAAGCCAACCAGTCACAGGGTTCCAGCACCTTCTCCAGGTAATCTGCAGTGAAAGCCTTCACCTCTGATGGCTTACTGTCGCCTGCATGCAAACAGAAAATATTCAAACAGAAATCCTTTTTGTTTCCCTACAAAATCCGAGTCAATTAATGTAATACCAACCAAGCATGTAGTCCTGATAAGCCTTAAATCGCTCATAAAACAGCAGCTGGCTAGTTTGGAAAGTGTCTGGGAGGCTAGAATTCCCTCCTCTGTGTCGCTCACATCTTTGTAGGTGGGTGCCTGACTTTTCAGAGCTACAGTGATCTGTACCACTGTCGTCATCATCATCATCAGTGTCAACCTTGGCTGCCCCCTGCTCATTCTGAAAAAGATCTAATGAGAAATACACATTATTTCACTCTGATGTGTCAGGAGGCTGCAGCTGACAGTTACACGATAGCAAAACAACATTTGGTCCTTTATTTTAAGCTGATTTTGACACTTATCCTCTGTGCACAGGCTGAAGAACCCATAGGAGAGGTCAGACTAACCCATGGTGGAAATGTGTGTGTGTGTGGGGGGGGGTGCTGCTAAGGCACCATTGAGCATCAGACTGAGATTTACAGCTGGCAGTATTTGCAGTAATGTTACTGATTAATGTTGATGAGGGAGACAATTGAACAGTCATGTTCAAGTGATGACGTCAACACAGGAAGCAAGTGGGTACGCATGACAACAGACGTTTTCAGCCTAAATGATTATCTGTAGTTATTTGAAAAAAGGGAACAGTCAATACAAACCAAAATATGTTTCAAGTACACATGGACGCACAAATTAACATTAAATAAACACTGAATTTCAACATTAGGACAGGCTAGTTAAAGCTGGGTCACATCGTCTTAGAGGTCGCATTTCCCCCTCCCCAAACACTGACAGTGACGTTAACTAGTGATAGAAGTGTCATGCCACCACAGACCTTGAGTCACATCCAAAATATTAGCCTGTTCTTCACAGAGGCCGCTCTCTTTGTCGAGTTTCACTTCATCAGCTGAGTCCAGATCAATCACAACCAAGTCCGACATGTCGTTGACAGTGCACGCGGCGTCCCGTGATTCCTGTTCCATTACGATATTAAAATATGTATAACGACTAGTGTCTTATCGAGTAATTGAGAGGACGAGCCTACAAAAGGAGCCCAACAGTTATGTATCTTCGACACACAAAAAAGCAAACACCCTGTTACTTTCAAATATCTCGGTCTTCAGTGACACAACCAATCAAACGGAGGTACAGCTTGGCAACCCGCCCTTTTTACTAACCAATCACTGAGCATGCGCGAAACATTGTTTCCCTCCACTCTACTTTCATACAGCAATGTCAATATTGACAACGCATATTCAATGGCCATTGATAATATACCGTGTACGTTTAAACTGACACACTGGTGTACAATTCAATATGTTTTTGCCAAACTAGAACACTGCTAAGATACGTCCTGATGTAGTGCAGTAGATAACCGCTAGAAGGCAGCAATACAATGAAGGTAGCCGAAGCCGACGAGCCGTAGAAGAAGACGGTATTCGTTAGCTCTGTAGTGGGTGGTTTTAGAATCAGCACAGCAGTCAGGTAAATAATTAAGAATTCATGTGAAGATACAAAGACATTTTCTTCGTAGCATGTGTATATGTTTACATATGTGCATGTGTGTATTACACATGAACGTGGGTTTACTCCAGAATATTTTACTGCTGCAGATACTTCAAAGTTAGCATCTGTCTGCTAGCAAATGCTAATTATCATCGTAACATACAGGCGGCGACACAGTTGGTCCCAACTGGAATTACTAGTAACCCCACGAGGGAACGGTTTCATGTTAGTAACCTTTTTAGAGGTATTTATGTTGTCATTATATGGAATGACTTTTAAGTTGGAAAAAAAATCTTTACTGTAAACTTCTGGATGTGAACAGCATCACAAATAGATGGCTGAATGTGACATTTGGCTGAGAACTTGGGTTTCGTTTTGCTCCTTAATAAACTGTTCATATGTACAGTGTGTATGTGTTGATATTCGAGCAGGCTGAAAAGCCTCTAGGTGGTACCTCCGATGTAAAGGAGCCACGTGTTCTCGTTTTTAGGCTTTCATCCGGCCTCAACATGTTTGCAAAAGCAATCTTGATGGTAACCTGGATCAGAAAACCACAAAGTCAGAGAAAGGGATCCAAAACAGTCGAATTGACAGTTGTACGTAAAGAGTAGCTGAATGACTTCTGACATTACCTAAAAGAAACATTGAAATTGAAATGTAGTGTTGTGTAAGCTGAGACAACAACAGATTCATAAAGTATTAGTAATACATAAATAGAAGATAGTATTTGAGGTCTCCTATTAGTGTTACTTCCTTTATCTGTACTTTGAGATGGTGTACATTTAATTGCATTTATCTTATGTCTCAGATTGATCACCACACTGAGTCTGCCAACCAAGAAAACTATGCACATTACAACAGCAGTTACCTGGTATTTATGCATAGCCTAAAGTTATTTGTCTTTTCCCATGGCATGGCACACAGAACCAGTTATTTGAGCATATCAACGGCATATAGAAATGAACAGTATGCATGCCATATGTATTCACTGGGATATGCCAAAGAGAAAAGACACCATTGTGATCTTAGTGAAGCATTTGTCGCCGCAAATCCACCTGGAAAGGGTTATTAGGCCAGTTAATTTCCAAACTATCTGAATAGAGATACAGATTATTCACAAGTAAAACACATTCCGGACAATGGATGTCCCAGGATGGTGAAAAATCCTCAGAGCTACATCTCAGACTCCACAGTATAGACAGCATAGTTGGAGAAAGGCTGAACCAGTATGGCTTGTTTATTTGGGCTGCAGGAGAAAGCCTCTTCTCTGGAAAAACAAAATGGCTGCACGATATAGTTTTACAAAGCACCAGATTTCAGACCAAAGTGGAGATGTTTGGTCAGAATGCACAGCAAACCAGTAGATCAGCACAAGCTGTCGGCAGTCATTCAGTCCACCATGAGCTCAACTTTGACTCTTTATACTTTGGTATCCAGAGTCAAGTGTGAGCCCATGTATCCCACAGCGAAAGCCAGGTTCAAAGTAGGCCATCAAGAGGACCATGATCCCAAACAAAGCAGAATACCTGAAAGAAAAGAGAATCAGGCGCAGCTAAAGGTGCTTGTTTTTTCACACTGTTTCCGTGTGCTGTCTCTCTTTTACTTTTAGTTCATACTGATCTATATGAGGTACCATTTCCTCATTTTAAGAACCATAGGATTTTTTTTTGTTCTTATTTGTAAAATTAAAAGCTGAACCAGGGAGTTCTTCACTTCTGTTTTCACACAACGGTAAAACTGTGAGTTGCGTTGAGGACCAGTTAAACGTTAATAAGAAAAGCCAGTCCAAACTTTTCATTGGTACTGAATGTTTAGCCATTTTTCATCATTTTAAGGATCAGGCTGATGGAATTCTGTGAAATTATATGCCTTGCATGTTTTGGAAGATAAAATTATTAAATAATACCGCAGTTAAACTGATGGGATAAAAGACAAATGCATCCCGGTCGATTTCTGAGTCTTTGTTATGATCAGTAACATCAGGATGTGAACAAACAAGAGCTCAATATTCTCTCAGCCTATAGTTCCAACACTTACAATCCCCTGTCTAAATCCTCATTACAGACCATAAACGCTGTTCATGCTGGAATTGTTTTGGTGGTACATAGGCATGTGAAGGACCAGCTGTTTTTACCTGTGCTCTGGATGTGCTCTGGCCTTGACTCCCTCCTGTCTCCTGTCAGGGTCCCAGTTTAGCCGAGCTGCTGGGAAGATGTCGGATCAAAAACGCCTCGGACCCCACGGCGAGGTGCCAGCCAGCGATGATGTGGACGAGCTGTCCGCCAGCGATGACTCAGAGCCCGAAGAGCGGCCCAGCGGAGCTCCCTTTGACCCCGACCTGGATTGCAGTGATGGTGACGAGGAGGTTGAGTTCTGCGCCCCCGCCGTCCAGAGCCCCTTCATCCTGAGCGGAGGAGGCTCGGCCTTCTCGCTCCGCAGTCACAGCATCTTCAACTGCCTGGACGGCGTGGAGAAGCAGCCCGTCACCTCTCTGAAGCGGGGTATCGCTAAAGAGAGCCAGAATACAAGCGACCCTCCACCCGCTTGTCCCACACCACCGAAGAAGAGAGGAGTCCCAGATTACTTGCTGCACCCTGAGCGTTGGACTCGCTACAGCCTAGAGGATGTCCCCGAGAGCAGCGATCAGGACAACCGCCGGGCGGCTCACCAGTTCCTGTCCAGTCTGCGGCAGGAGGCTAAACCCGACCCTCCCTGTGACATTAAGCAGAGGATGGTCTTTTCCAAACCCAAAAAGCCGTTGAAGGAGCAGCTCCCTGAGCAGGCGCTGGCTGACCAGCCTGGAAAGGAGAAGGGGCTAAGCCTCAGTCACCTGTCAGAGGGAGAGGAGGGGCAGGAAAGAGGAGGAGGAGGAGGGGGAGAGCAGGCCAGGCTAAAAACCGAACAGTTAGGACAGGCGGATGCAGAGGAAGATGAAGGGGTGGAAGTGACCGGAGCTGTGGATTCAGCAGAGAGGAAGAAAAGAGTGCAGGAGAAGACGATGCAGGACTCCGGTCCTAGTTTTACCTCCTTCAGAAAAATAAAGGGGAAAAACTACAGGAGGAGCTCCGTGCGGGAGGACGACTGACCACAGCACACCTGATTAGACTGTAGAGTAGACATGTAGGCCAATCCGTACTAAAAAAATAGGGATACATCCATTCCTTATACTGCTTATTCCTGGTGTGTCTGATGTTTTTTAATTTTTTTGGGGAGCTGCCAGTGCTAACCATCACACCACTGAGCAGCCCCATGGGGAACCATGCAGCTGGACAACATTTAAATAAAATGACAATGAAATCACACATTAGATCCACTGGAATGCTTGAAGACGATCTTTAAATTCCCTACTTTCTTTGGGTTATTGGACAGTCCATCATTGACAAAGCAAGTCAAGAGGCTGCATTAAGTGAAACTCCCCACTGTGAACATTCAGCTGCAGTTTGACTGAATTTGGATTAATAAAAAGGGACTAATCACATCAGTGTTGCTCTTTACTGGGTTTCAATATCGGCCCTCTGCTCAGCAGATGAGCATTTATGTTCAAACAGCATTCCAGCTATGGAAAGACCATGCAGAGATCCATGTTTATGTTTCCTTCTGTTGGACTTTTGGTATGAGGACAAACTCGTTGCCGATGAGAAAGCTGTAAATATAGAATGTTTTTATGGAAATCTACTGTAAGAAAAGGTTTATTTTCACTGCACATAGTTGTGCTGTGCCGTGTCTGCGGGTCGGAAGAAGTACTTCTGGTTGGCTTTGCTTTTTAAAATAAGAGATTCTCCGTGGACTTCAAATTAAACTTAAAGTTTTTCTGAAAGTTTTCATTTAGGCACTATTAAGATTTAATGGGAAGTTCCCAGAAGCTGAGCCAGCTTTGCTTTGGACTTCCTTCTTAATATTACCTATAACGCTGTAATCAACCAAAGAAATTCAACTGAAACCCTGAAATTACGGCTAAAAATCAAATAATATGGCCGAGGAGGGGGGGTGTGACTGGCAAGACGGCAATTCTACCCAGCAGCCCGTTGTCAGCTATACAATCTTTGATTTTACTGGGATTTTTTCACCATTTCCTCAAACCACTAGTGGGAAACTGCCGTGAGCCTCACAGAGGATGTGCTTCTTGTGTTAACTGAGCATGCAGGTCCACCACAGGAGCTGCTAACGGCCTTCATCAGAGCAGGACAGGGCCAGATTGCAGTGTTTATACTAGGACTGGACAGTTGTTATAAACTGGTCAACTCATTGGTCGTTACGTTCTGGGTCAACCAACATTCCGATTCCGAGCACTTTGCTTGTTAGTTTCATCCAGTCTCTAGGTAATTTCATCAGGAGGAATGTACAAATTGCTCATTGGGTCGTCAGAACAGGTAACGGCCTGTCTTCAGGGAACCCTTGTTTTCACTTTTTAGGATAAGGTCAACACACTAAAGACAAGTAGATCGAAGAACATTCATGTAAATGTCCAAAGGTTTGCTGAATATTTATTTTCTATTTTAAATTTAAATTTAAAATTATTGTGAGTCTTCCTTTACCTCCATGTCAAACATATCGGCCGTATGGCAGAAGTGTACAAAAATAGTTGGTGGGAAAAAAGTTGACGGCAGAACTTGCAAACAACCATTTGAATATAACAGCTCAACTACAAATCTAAAAACGTTAATTTTGCGTAAAGGGTTTGTGCCCACTGTTTTTAGGTCATTGTTTTGAGCCAAGGCTTTATTTTTCAGGAATGCACATTTTTTATTCGTTTGCACTTTGATAATCCAATTAGTCGATTTTTAGTCGAAATGTAAGGGTTTCAGTCAACAAAAATTTTTTGGGGTTGATTACAGCCCTAGTGCAAGCCCCCCAGAGCAGGTTTTCTTCACTACAGTGAGACAGGAGGTTTCATCCTTTAGATAGGTAAACTAAGTATCATCAGCATAACAATGGAAATGCATGCCTCACAATTTAATCATGTGATGCACTGGCAATCTGTGGTGGGAGGTAAAGTATGCAGGTGTTCAAAACCTTCACTAATATGAAGCTTTTGCTCCTTTCTCTGACAGTAGCCTGGGCACCTTCTTCATCTTTGTAGAGGGATGTCAGTTTTTATCCCAAAAGCAGCTGAAACTTGGATTCACCTGGCTCCCAAAGAACCTCTTGAGCCCACAAGGTTGTATGTCTCCATTCATCCATTTTTTATACTGCTATACTATTTGGGTTGGGTGGTATCCAAATCCTGATACCTACATACCTTCTCCACATTTTACCATGGTATACGGTATTATCGCGACTAATCAAAAATGATAACTTATAGGGTCAGACAGCGTCACCAAACTGTTATCTTGTGTCTACACCGTTCAGAAACTGAATACCAAACACTAATAAAGAAACAAAATATTGCCAGACTGCAGAAGTCGTGTTCTTCTTCGCAACAATGTCATCTCTCGCTCTTTCCTCCACGCTGTCGCGTGATGACATCATGGACATAAACTTCAACCACATTTAAGTGCTGCCGGACATAGAATCCTTTTTTGGCATTGATTTAATTATATCTTATATTAAATCCCTACCATCTATATAAGCAAATTGCATTTTCTTTAATGACGTTATTGAAACTGATACAATGTTGCAAGACCTCTGAAATGAGAGCAGAGGTCTGTTGGACGTGTATCTGTAGCAGGTTTGCATACTTTTTGTCTTTGCATATTACTGAGCAGAGACGCCAAGCGGCAGCAATACAGTTTGATTAAATCTTAACTTTACAGAAGGAGATTTGCATGGCAGTCTCCAATAAGGAAGAGGTCTGTGGAGGGGAAACCAATGAAACCGATTCGGTAATCCGCTTCCTGAAACATCTCCCACTAAGGAAAAAGACAGAAGACCTCCACCCTGCACTAAACATCCTCCAAATGGGCAAGCACCCGTACACAGCTTGCTGTGAGTGCATAACACAGACAATGTGCATCGAAGCAGAATTGTGCTATTCCCAGTTTTTCTGTTATGTGCCACTGTGATGTAGTATATCGAGACAAATTTAAGGATCAGCTTGGTCTGAAATATAAAAGTGCTCCCCTGTGTGGCCTTTTTTTCTATGTGGGTGTGTCATTTAATCCTCTATGAAGTGTGCAGCAGTGTAGCGACAAAATGATTTATTTCCACACTACTAAGCAACTGAAAAATGTTTGGTAAGGTGAAAGTAGTCCCTCTGTTCTATGAGCATCCTTCCAGCTCCGTGTTCAGTTTTTGGATCTGGAAACATGTCAGAAGGATGTGGTTTCTGTCGTATTTTCCACGAAAACCCATTCTTTCAATTTGCGTGACACTGAAAATCTGATTTTGACTGGACATGGGGAGTGCAGTCTGTAAAAGTCCTGGGCGGGTTGACAATCCATAACATTGCATTTTATGTTTTAATATGTACAAAATGTCCATGACATGTGGTGCAGTTCAACAGCACAGTATCAGCTAAGCATAGATTTAGACACATCACTATATTTTAATATTGTGTGTTATATTTAGAAATAGCCAAATAGGTTTAACTGGCTTTCCAAGGATACTGTGAGCCTTTCATCAATGTTAGTGATGACACTGGAGCAGTATCTTCCTCATATTTCTGTCAGCATAAGATCTTGATTCTGGCGCTGTGTAGACGGCTGCCTCTCCAGTATCTTCTGGTAACCTTAATTTCCTGAGGGAGTCTTCCCAAGGGATCAATAAAGTTCAGTCTAAGTCTAAGTCTAAGTCTTCTAATACTCCACCTTGTAAATCTTTTAAATGTGTCTTAACCTGAATACGGTGAAGCACCGACTTTGAAGTACACATACAATAAACCAATTCAAGTCAGAGTAGTATGGGTTAGCTCCTTTTATCTAAAATGCATTGACCAACAGTGGGTGAGAGGTGGAGTACAGCTAAATTCACATTGCCAAATTTATATATTGATCAGCCCACTTCCAAAAGTATTTGAACAGCAAGGCTAATCCCCTTGTTTTCACTGTTCATTGGAGATATTTGGGTTTAAGATCAAAAGACCGAGTTCATATTGTCTACTTTAAGTTCCTGGTCTACTCAGAACCTACCACCTTTTGTTTGAACCCACCTGTTTTTCAATTGAGCAAAACTGTTGAAGCACGTGTTTCCTGCTGACCAGGTGTTGCGTGGTTTATTGTTCAAACATTAAGTAGTTTTGCATTCGGACTGGGTTTCAACTTTGGAAACCCACTATGACCTATCTTAATTGAAGCGCATATTCCTTTTGTATAGCCTTTTTTCATCTCCCAGCCGGGTATACCTACCTGCCCTTCCCTGTATACTGGTAAATGGAATACTCAAGATGTTATGTATGAATACTAAGGTGACATCCCAGTCTCAGGTTTAAAAACTGCTAAATGTTATGATCTGATGCATACAAGTTCATCGGTGAAGCACGGTGGAGGTAATGTCATGGCTTGAGCTTACTAACCACATCTGATGGTAGCAGGATCAATGAATTTGGAAGCGTACATAAAAATTCTGTCAACTGATTTCTGGTGAAATGCATCCAAACTAATTAGGAGGAGTTCGATCCTGCAGGAGGACAATGATCCAATGAAAGCTACCAACAAACCAAAGAACTTCATCAGAGTGAAAAAAGTGGACGGCCTGGCCAAGTCTGTCCCCTGACCCTGACCCAAAAGAGCAGGTATTTCTCCTCCTGAAGAACAGTCTGAAGGGAGAACCCTCTGAAACAAACAAGACCCTAAAGAAACCTGGGATGCTACAACCCTAAATATGTTTAGAGGAAATGAAAGCTGGAATTCTGAACTCTCACTATCATCTTTTGATCTGAAACCCAAATGTCATCAGTGAACAACAAAAATAAGGGAATTTACTTTCCTTTTGAAATACTGTCGAAGGGGAATCCAGCTAAACAGAACCGTTTTCAGCCTGGATCTTAAATTCAGAGTTGAGGCCTGTCTCACCTCGTCAGGAAGACTGATCCAGATTTTAGGAGCAGGGAACTGAAATGAAGCCTCTCCTGGTTTGGTTCTAAATAGTAGACTAGTTATTAATCACAGTTGTAACTATGCTAAGAAGGCCTTGCGTCATGCAGATTTTACTTATCTCTCTGGAGACACTTTGAAACCTATAGGATAAAAGACATAAAAACACAGATTCACAAACAGTGTCCATGCAAAACACTACCAAATAATACCGAATATAAAGTTAAAAAACAGTCACAATTACGGCCTCTCAGACCATACAGAATACAGAACCTCTAAAGCAAGTTGACCCACAATGCAACAGGTGAGGCCATTAACTAAACTGTGGTCATGTAACCTGTGTCATACCTCATACCCTTTTTTAAAATAATGTAAACATTTCTTATTTATCATCACTTATTTTAACTCTTTGTAATAGAACTATTAATTTAAACGTTTTTACATGAAAACAACTGATCGAAAACAAGGAGACTCTGCAACAACTGTCCCCTGGACAGCTAAAACAGTTTTTCCAGGGCCTCAAAAAGTTCTTAGTCTTTGATTTAAATATTAAATAAAAGATGGCAACTTTTTCATAAAGTTAAGGCATATTGAAACAGGTGTTTTCAGTAATAGTGAAACTATAATTCACATAAAATCTGCTTGAAAACAAAATGGTGTTGGACATATTGATCCTTCAGCCCCGCGGATCTCTGTTGTTTTTTTTTTTTTGTTTTTTTTGTTGCGTGTTTGTTTCTCTGAAGGGTGACGCACGGCTTCTGCGCAGGTACGGCACACCTGTACAGCGCACGGCGAGGGACTCTGCAGGTATGCGGAAGTGGAGTGCGCTTGTTGTTTAGCGCATAGGTCTTTCAGGCACAGTTTATTTCTGACCTGTGACACGGTCAGTGATGGAGACGCGCCCGTGAAGTGGAAAGCAGCGGCCAGATGCGCTTTGCTTCGAGTGGTCTTCGGATCTGAGACGGACGGCAAACATGTTCTTCAAGTGCACCCAGGTAACAGAGACCACTTCTGTCTCTTCTGTCCGGCAGCGTGATTGCGTGCCGTGCGCGGGAGGAATACAAAGGGGAATTCTGACTTTTATAGTGGCCCACTTCAACTTACTAGCTTTCATTTAGGCCACAGTCTGGGAATATATAGTGCTGATCAGCTTTATGCGCTATCGTCAATTCAAACTTCTCCTCTAAAGCGGAAAAACCTAACAATCAGAAGCCGAAATCACTTTGTCATGGAGTTAAAGTGACCAAAAAGTAATGAAGGAGAAATCCAAAATTAGAGAAGCCTCACTACGTTAAAACTGTTAATAGTGATTACAATGAATTCCAGTGAACAACGAGGCAAGTTTTATATTGGAAGTTTTCAATCTGAGGCCTCCAACAAATTAAAATATTTCAGTTATCTACATGTAATAAGATTTATTTTGGGGTGTTTTTTCTGAGAGACTGCCCGCCTGAAACTAACTTTAGTTCCAGTTCTGCATGATGTCTGCACAAGTCCATAAGTTTCTCCTGCCGCTCTGTGCAGCAGAATGCTTATATCTACATCTCTAGAGTTTGTAAGAACGACTGAGGTTAACTTCTCTTTTAGTTTGAATCCTGACTGTTTTCTTACATTAGTGACAAAAGAACAAATCCAACAGGAAAGTGAATGCCAGCCTGGGCAGGTCTCAACCTGTAGGCTGCTCCAGTATCTTCATTATCTAAATCAGTAGTGGCCAAGTGTTGACTACACATAAAGCTGCAAACAAACCGCAACAGACGTCCCAATGAAGAGGATTTCATACGATTTTGGGATTTTTACATGCATTTAGTTAAACTAATTTGTAGATCACAAGCTTAATGAACAGCTTGATACAGGGTGCCATAGCTAAACTGACCCAATGTAGTCATCATCTAAATGTTTTAGTCATAATAAGCCTGCTAAGAATTCTGTTTGGATGTTAATTAAGTTTCCTTGATTTAATGTTCTCTAATGGAGGAAAAAAATCAAAAGGATATGATCTGAGTTGTGTTTGAGCTCACTGTGTGTGCTTGTTGAAGGAAAACATCGACCTGTTGACCAGAGGGGAGGATGACTCCAACACTGAGCCTCTACTCCCTTCACTGGTAAGAGTCCCACTTGACAGACCTCACATCGGAGCTTTTCCTACACAGACCAGATAACGCCGGACCGGAGTATCACTGAGATGCAAACATCTGCTCTCATGGAAAGGGCTCCACTGAGCAGACAGGGGCGTGTTACATGAACACCTGCAGCTTTATCTCCTCTCAGGGCTCAGGGTGAGAGTCAAGCTGTTCGTGTGTGATGCACCATTGCTTTACATATGCCGGTTAACGCTGGTAAAAGAGATAGGTTTGTTCAGCTTGTTCTCCTGCAGTCATGAGAGGAAGGTTTCCTCTTTGCCCACACTCTGAACATCATCAATCATTTGGATGCTGAAAGGAAAATGGTGGTAAATAGGACTCAGCTGCTGCAGGTTGCTAACTAAGGAGTGATGCTTTGTAATTAAAAGCATGGTTGGTGTCTGATTTAAATCGTAGCAGTGCTGCAGGTTCTCAGTGAGTTGTAACTTTAAGTTCAGACCACCTGCAACTTCCGCCTGCTTCGATGCAACTGGAAAAAATTGGCACATTTAGATTTTCTCAGTTTAATTAATTTTCCCTTTTTTACCTATAAAGTACAAAGCTGACAATCAAAATCAAGGAACTTCACGACATGGTCCAGTTCATCGCAGATTCACATGTATCATAATCACATGAAACCTAATAGATTCAACCCCAAGATGGGTTAAATTAATACAGGTCTGATTTGTAAACGTTTTTTAGCTAAGGACCAGCAGACCGTAGGTTAGGGCAAGATTCTCATTGATCCAGTCCTCCATCCTGAGTGTGCATGAGGTGGAAAGAGAAAAAACTCAATTTTAAACAAGAAGAATCCTCCATTAGAACCAGGATGGGCAGCCATCCTGCAGGACCAGCTGGTGGTTTTGAGATGTGTTTCCAAGCCTGGCTCTCAAAGACCACTGCCCTGCATGTTTTCCATGTTTCCTCTGCCTGATTCGAATAAATTGGACTGCTCTTCAGCTCTTTAAGCTCTGTAGAAGATAGAGAGGATCCTATTCATTCGCATCAGGTGTGCTTGAGCAGGGAAATTTGGAAAACATGCTGGGCATGATCCCTGAGGGCCGGGGTTGGGAAGCACTGGTTTAGAGGTCTGGAAAGAGAAGACAACAAGTGCCATACCTGCATGTTGGGAGAGTACACCTTGAGGAGTTGGGTTAAGCAATAGTTAATTATTGTTGGCTCAGAGAGATTGACTGGATAGAAATAGTCTGAATCCAAATCAGGTTCTACATACATCTAAAGCTGCTGTCCTCAGTGATAGCTGAGTTTCCAGGACTCTTCTCTAAAAGCTATTTTGTACATAAAGAACTCCTGCTGTCATCATTACTGAGAAAATTTGTTCAGTAAAGAAAATGAAAATGGAATTTCCTTGAATCTGATTACAGCATGAACAATAGAGACAGACAATCAGAAGTAAAGGATAACAGCAAACCATTAAACAAAAGTGCATGGAATTTTTTTCTGAAATTATGTCATAACTTATTATTTGATTGGTACTTTTTTTATATTCCTTATTCTAAGGGTTATGATTAGACGGAAAAGACCTGCATGAGTCGAGTTCATTGTTTTCACATCAATCTCTCAGGTTAAACAAACTCGGCTTGTCTTCAAGCAACATCAAAGACTGGAGATCTAGCAGTTTCTCAGTTGACAGGCCGCAATCACAACTGGGATCACATCTATCCATCCGTTTTCCATTTGGGCGCGAAGGGTCACTTGGGCTGTCACTGGTCGAGAACCTTTGTTAAGTTTCACCTCTTAACCCAACATGCATATTTATGGATGGTGGGAGGAAACGGGTATACAAAGGAAAAACATGAAACCTCCACAGACAAAATTTCTCAGGCAGGTTTTTAACCCTTTACTGTGAGGTGACCGTGCTAACTAGCCCACCACCATTAACCCTAACTAGCACATTACCTTTAACCTTAACCAGCACACCACCAACCCTAACCCTAAATAGCACACCACCCCTAACCAGCACATTACCTCTAACCTTAACCTGCACACCACCACTACTCCTAACCCTAAATAGCACACCACCACTAACCCTATCCCTTAATAGCAAACCACCACTAACCCTAACCAGCACATTACCTCTAACACTAACCAGCAAACCACCACTAGGCCTAACCCTAACCAGCAAACCACCATTAAGTCTAACCCTAACCAGCTTACCACCACTAACTCTAACCAGCAAACCAACACTAACCCTAACCAGCATATCACCTCTAACCCCAATGCTATCTCATCCTCTGTTTTAGCCCACCCAGAGGACATTCGACTTCATACTGGTGGCTGACAAAGTGGATGATGACTCTGACCAGAAGGCTCAGAGACAGAAAGAGTTTATCCAGCAGCTTCAAAAGAAGAGAATCACAGTGAAAGTGAGCTTCTTCAAAAGACATCTCAAGCACTATGAGTTCAGAGACAATTCAACAATAAGCCACTTAATGTGTTTGCATGCATGTGTGTCTGTGTGATTTTTAAGAGGATTACCCATGATGACAAAGTATTTTTTGGCCTGCGAGCGCATAGCGAGATCTTTGAGGACTACAAATACCTACTCAAAGTCTCTGACTCTTGCAATTGGAGTGGAGACATGAAGGGAATTGTCACTCAGGCTAACAGGTAACACACACACACACACACACACACACACACACCCATAGTCACTGGCTCAGAACTCTCAACTGAGCTTATACAGGTATTACCAGTTTTTCTGTTTTCATAAAAGCAAAACAGTCAAGCAATAACACATCGGGATTTAATGACGTCCTCATCATTTAAATGCGGTCACTGCTGCCTTGCTGTTCCAAAAATAACACATGCCATTGGTTATTTGGCCATTGCTTGATTCCTGTAGGCAGGGGATGAGTTAAATGCCACTTTTTTCTTTGCTTAAAATAAACCCAGATTCCGTTGTCGCTGGAGTGATATATTAGATATTATTAAGAGGTTGCAAATACTGTTAGATGGAGGATGTGTCCATCCCTACCAGAGATGAGGATATGACACGGGGAAACAAATGTATACAGAACATATATTCCAGATACCAATAAGTTAAATGGAATTTTTAAAAACACATTTTCATATTAGTTTGTTTGTTTTTGGTGGAGATTTTTGCTCTTTAATCAGAAAACAAAGAAAAATTAATCAAAATAAAGAATTAAACTCGAAAGTGATACGTTTTGTATGTTCAGAGAAAAAAGAATGGCTGGATTCGGCTTGTATTAAGGGCAGAATCAGTATGCAATAGTTCTGGGTTTGCGTGAAATGTTCTCTCATTTCCTTAGAAGCCCCATGATGTGATGGAATGATAATATGAAAGTATCTCTATCACGGAATAGCAAACAATCCTTTTGTTTAAAATCCTGCTGAGCAAGTTTTTTCACAGTTTCTCACAGAAGGTGAGAAACAGCTGACTGTTTTTATAGCATCCATGCTTAAGAATACTAGAAAGAGGTAGGCTGTGCTAAATACAAAAAAGTGACAGTTAAACTTAAAATTTTCTGATTGGTGTCATGCCTAATTGTATATACCATCTTATGTTTTCCGTCTCATACTTAGGTTAAATGTCTTATAAACACCCTGTCTAGCTTGAAGGAAAAAGGTGCATATGTACATTCTTTGTCTGACGGGATAAAATTTTCTGTTGTTCACCCGTCACATTACTTGGAGATCGAATATCGATGAAGAAACCACGGCACCCCATGCTAGACAGCTTCAGAATCTTCTGGGATGAAAACCAGACTTGTTGCTGCTGACCATGCAAAGCACATTAACTTTAAACCCTTTAGCTGTAAACAAAAAAAAGAAAACAATGGAAGAAAAAAACTTTAAATAACTAAGATGTTCTCTGAGATGGTTATCTTCTGACAGCATGACTGAATCAACAAATTTAGTAGGTGAGATATTACAAGCATGTAGACATGTAGATGACATGTAGATGTCATTTGCGTGCCATCTTGGAAAGATTTGTATTTTCTCCCCAGGATACGAATTGTTCACTTCATTCTCCTTCAGACCTTCATAAACACAGGAGGTGAGCGTGATTAGTTTAAAGATATGGAACTTGATTAGCAATATAGATGTTGTGTATTGTTTTAAACCCGCTATGTGTTAATAGCTATTGGCAATGATGAATAAGTGTTGATTCTTGATGGAATGTATTTAAGTTATGTGGTGATCTAAGCCGATAGACAGCCTTTTCTCATGTTGATGTGTCTATACAGAGAACCTAGAGGACCTCTTAATGAAGGATGTGTTTGAAACAACCTTCTGCCTCCATGAGGTAAGCAGTCTTTTATTTATACAAACATATGTGTATGTGTGTATTTATATATATATATATACAGTATGTATGTGTGTGTGTATGTGATCCTCATTTGTTACCCCCCCGCCAACTCACACACACACACACACCCTTTTCAGAGGAAGGAGCAGAAACAACTGCGACAGAAGTGGGCTCGGTGGTCAGCTTTATTTACAGGACAGCCAGTCCTTGACGTCAAGTGAGTGTAACTGTGTCTGTGACACAGACCCTGCTAGGAATAAGAGATATCCATGGATGGATGGGTCAAAGGTTGGATGGACGGGTCAATGGATGGATAGATGGTTGGTTGGAGGGACGGATGGTTGGATGGATGGTTGGTTGGTTGGTTGGTTGGTTGGTTGGTTGGTTGGTTGGTTGGATGGATGGATGGATTGAGACACAAATTGTACCCTGTCTCAGCCACTGACCACCTCTGGCTTTATATGCCCTGAGAGAAATATAAAAAACGGCCTGTAATTTTTTTTGCAGTCTTTCTTTTGCCTTTTAGGTTTCTTTTGTCCCAGTGCACCATTCCTTCATTGTAGTAGTGGTGCACCAGCTGATAAAGGGCTGTTCCTCTTTAGTCTTTGGTTACTGCAAGGCAGATAGCTACTCATCTTCTTGGAAGTCATTAGAAACATTCAAAGTTAACTGTTTTACTCCTATATGCTCACGCCATGGCTCAAGGTCCCAGAACCTGGTACAGAGCCCACATTAGGATCATTTGTCCAGCAGCTATTGTTGTCCATCTCATGCCATAAGATGAAGAGCTGATACATTACCACTCCAATTCATCCATGTGTAATCTTGTCCAACTCTTCAGATTTGATCTCTAGTTCAAACCTTATCGTCCCAATTGGTCCACCTTTCTAATAGCCCATTGCCTAGCACAGTAGAGGCAGAATTGGTAGCCATTGGTTTATTCATTGGTCACAATCCCATGAATGGGCGTAAAACAAGAAGGCAAAATGTTTGGGATTGCGAAGGGGTTTGTTAAGAAATGTGACTGTTGAAGTTGGCTTGGACCAAGGCTAACAAATCAAGAACCACTTTCTAACTCCATATGTACGGCTCTGTACTAGATTTACAATTATACTCCATATTGTAAGATCTACTTAAAAATAGAAACTTATTCAAAGCAACTGCAAGCTAAACAAAAGTGTACAAAAACCCAAAAAATTTATTTATTGAAGGAAATAATTGATTTGGGTCAATGTGACTGATTTTTTATTTTATTTTGCAGAATTTTTATTGAACTGCCTAAAGCGTGAGTATAAATAAGCATAAAGCATGAACATGCATGCAAGTTAACTGATGGTTCTTCATAGCCTGTAAGAGCCTGTATTATCATTAATCTGCATCACTGCCATTTAATCAGTTTTTTGCAGATGGTCGAACTTCATTATTATTTTTGACTACACTTAAAAAAAATTAGAATAGAAAATTAAAAGACCCAAAGTAGTTGTTTCAGTCAACTAGAACTCGTGGAGTATTAACTGAAATAAAACTTTACGCCTTCCTAACTGTAGAGCTTTGGAGGCCATTGGCTTTGGATACTGCGATTTGTATGCATCTGTTTGTCTGAAGATGGTTCTGTATCATGTTCTGTCTCATGATCTTGCAGGTGTTACTTTGGAGAGAAGGTGGCTCTGTACTACCTGTGGCTGGGCTGGTACACCAAATTGCTGGTTCCAGCTGCCGCCCTGGGTGTCATAGTGTTCCTCTACGCGCTGGCCTTTTTCAACACCAGCCCTGTCATGTAAGTCTGTAAGAAGGTTATCCATCTGCCTCATTATGAATGGAGATCGTTTTGATGGGTGTCAGATTTATTAATATGTTATCAATCTGTTATAGAGTGACATATTAATTTTACATGACAACATTTTTTCTTTACTGTGCGTATCTCCACAGTAAGGAAGTGTGTCACTCAAACATCACCATGTGCCCTCGCTGTGATAAGAGATGTAAGCCTTGGCAGCTGTCAGACACCTGCACGTATGCAAAGGTGAGGCTGATGCTTTTCTTCTGTTAGTCCACTTCAGAAAGGAACTGAAATGTCGAATCAGTCATAACACACGAAATAGTTCAAAGGAAGACGCCACCTGTAACAGTGTAGCATCAATGTTCCTGCATGGTAACTAACAACTAATCTGCCGAGGCGTCAGACACTGATTGTGCTCCTTTGTAAAAGCCAAAAATGACAAGAAATGAAAGAAAAAAATAGCTGGGATTCAACCATGCCACAACCAGAGGCCTCACGGCTGAGATTTTTTCGATTATTAGCTTTGCACGAATCGAATTGTCACTCTGCAGAGCCTTGCTGTTTTCTCCTTCATTGTGATGCAGAGCTGCCATCTGTCCTAGGTCAGCCATTTGTTCGACAATGAGGGAACGGTGGCTTTTGCCATGTTCATGGCAATCTGGGGTGAGTCTCATTTCATTGCATTCATCATTTGCAAGTAGCCTACTGTGTGGGGATGATCTGAATGACTGATTCACAAACTGGCGTGTCTCTGTAGCCACACTGTTCCTGGAGCTGTGGAAAAGACACAGAGCCAAGCATGTCTCCAAGTGGAAAGTTTACGACTGGTGTGAGGAGGAGGTACAATAGTCAGCTGTCTTCGTCCATCTGTAGATTTTCTGCATCTATCTATCTATCTATCTATCTATCTATCTATCTATCTATCTATCATCTGTCTGTCTGTCTGTCTGATATTGTTGTTTTTTTTGTCAACAGGAAGAACTGATCATGGAAATAGTCAATGATGTGAACTGCAACCCCAAACAGTTCAGACATTCTTACATACGCAGTGCTCTGGTTCTCACCCTCGTGACAGTCATGGTACGAAACGCACTCGCGCATGTGGGATGCGGCTCGCAGTGCTTTTACGCCTTTCCCTGGAGGGAAACCTCTGCTGCTCCTTTATTACTGGAGTGCTCATACACTGCTCTCGCTTACTCAGGGAGATAAAACCACCTTTGACCTTTTGGAAAAGTAATCACAGTTTATGACCCTTTGCTACTTCTTATCTCAACATGTAGCTCTAAGTTCCCTTTTTGAGAGAGCCTTAAATATGTATATCTCCAGATAAGTATTCTTTATAGAATTATGTCGGTTTATTTCACTTTACTTACTATTATTTTGTTTACTCTGATTTTAACAATGACTCATTGGAGGGTGGACTGATCATTCTAGAAAGTCTCATTTAGAGAAATAATATAAATGCCAATAAATTCCCTCAATTTTACTCAATGGAGACATTTCTAATTTACATGTCCAGCAGCTTTTCAAACAGTTCCTTCATATTTCGGTCGCTTTTGAATTGGGAGGCAGCCTCGGTTAAAGAAAAAACTTGAGAAGCAGAACTAGGAATACTTATTGTTTTTTTATTAACTCGGGCAGTGCCCTGTGCTCAGAGGTCCTCATTAGTCCTCATATGGCCGCCGATTGCTCTGTTGCAGCTGATGGTGATCATTGGCCTCACTCATGCTCTCGTCGTGTTTCGAGTGGTGGCTGCTCCCTTGATGTCTGAGTTCAAGTGGGAGTTTTTGCAGGACCATGCCAACACCGTGGCCGTGCTGCTGGGAGCAGTACTGCACTACATCACGATTCAGATCATGACCCGGGTGTGTATGCATGTGTGTCAAAGCTGGCAGAATCCTTAAAGCAAGAAAATAAGATTAAAAAAAAAAAAAAAGCATGGATTACAATACAGACCAAATTTCTTTGAACACCATATTGATTTCAAGCTTTCAGTTTATGAAATGTGGCTCTTTGGACACATGAAGGTATTCTAATTCTAATTCTAATTCTAATTTATCCTTTAATGTGCGCTAAAATACAATGGAGATACAAAACTAGAAAATGACTTAAATCAGTAAGTGCAGGCATTCTGAAAACAGCAGAAACTGGAGGGAAACTTGAGAATGGTGCATTTTGATTCCATGTCCTGCTAAATGTTCCCTGTCAGCAATATGATGAAACAAATGTCCATCTCCTACCACCACCTGCAGGTTAACAGATGGGTGTCCCTCAAGCTGTGTGAAATAGGTGAGAAACAAAGTTAATATTGTCCTAGATTTGGGAGTCCAGAGTACAGCCTTAAAATTAAAGATAAAAATCGAGCATTGGTTTTTGTATTTGTGTGTTCAGAGAAGCCGAACTCGCTTGCAGCCCAGGAGAGGAGCTTCACCGTCAAGATGTTCACCTTCCAGTTCTTCACGCTCTTCTCCTCTCTCTTTTATGTGGCCTTTTTCCTGGGCAGGTACACAGCAGTTTCTACCCAAAGGCTTGAATTGCATCACTGGGATCAGGGCCAGGTCTAGGCAGGGGAACGAGGGGGCTGGCCCCCTCAAACTAAACTATGTTCCATCCAACCATCCATCAATTATCGTAACTGCTTATTCCCTAATGGGGTCGTTGGGGGACTGAAGCCTATCCCAGTATTTAATGGGTGAGAGGCAGGGTACACCGTTGACAGTCCGGCAGTCCATCACAGGGCCACATATCAACTTAACATGCAGGTTTATGGACGGTGGGAGGAAGCCGAAGAACCCGGAGAGAACCCACACAGACACAGGGAGAACATGCAAACTCCACACGCAAAGGTCCTGCTTCCCCTGGGGACTTGAACCCAGAATCCTCTTGCTGTGTGCCCCCAAAATATATTATAGTTAGTATATTTTTATTATGAAATGCCTCTCTTCTCCGCTCCATTTCTTAATGGCTAAATAATAAATAAATAAATATATATAGTATATACATTTTATTTTATTTTTTGGGTGTTGATGGGCCTTTATTTTAGACATGTTTTTGAGACGCCTAATGGCCTCATCCAGTAGACCTAAGTAACTGTTGAGTTGTTTGCTTTTTCTAAGCTAATAGCCTTTGTTTTATTTATTTCATTTAATTTCTGAAAAACTAAACAAAAAATATCCTCCTATGGGTAATATAATAATTGAAAGAATAAAAAAACATTCTCCAGAGGGATTGCCACCATGTCCTGGTAAGGAGGTTTGAGTGCCTCAGTGACCTTAAGCTATACCAACAGAAGATAGTCTAAATAGGGACACCCAAGTTGGGCAGGTCTGAGGGTAGAGGTCTGACAAAGCCCGGTTGGTTTAGGTTGAGGGTAGGACATACAGAACCCGAGTTCATTCATGGTTAGTCTAACAGCAATAACTACAATAAAGTAAGTGTGCCATGCATTTGTGACCACGGTACTTTACAAGGCACTTGTAAAGTGAGTGAACTAGGATGGTTGGACATGGTAAAAGGTGCTGGAGCACAGTGCCCCTTCACACATGCCTGTCTAGACCTGGCCTTGACTGGGATGGAATCTGAGCTCAAACAACTGCGATGAAAAATAGCTTGTGATCCAAAATCTGGATTTGAAAATCATTCACGCTAAATGTTTAATTAATTAAGCATGTAAAAAAAGAAAAGAAAAAAAACCTGCAAGAAGACAGCGTTGCAAATGTTCAATGAGCCCCTTGTTCTTGTGGTGTTGTCTCGACACAGGATAAATGGACATCCTGGAAACTATGTGCGGATTGCAGGCTTTAGACTGGAGGAGGTAAGATGAATCTCTTTTCATGCAATCAAGCTGCACCTGCAAACCGATTAGCAAACCAGAATGTGCTTTGCGTGTCTTTAAGTGTCATCCCAGCGGCTGTTTGACAGACCTCTTCATCCAGATGGCAGTGATTATGCTCCTTAAACAAACTCTCAACAATATTTTTGAGTTCACAGTGCCGTGAGTGCTTTGATCGTTGATTTTTTTTTCTTTCATTCATGCAAGTAAACTGTAAAGTTTGTGTTAACAGTTTCATCTTGGACTGTTTTCAGGTGGTTGAAGAGCCTTCTGAACAAACGGAGGGCCCATAAGCTGGAAAGGAAGTGCGGCAACTGTTACAGGAAGACCTGCCGGGATGAGCAGGGGCGCATCGAACCATGCGACGTCTGCAAACTTCGGGACTGGTTGCGAAACTACCACCTGGCCAGCTCTGATGCCTTCAGCCTGTTCAATGAATTCCTGGAGATGGGTATGTCCCAACATATGTCTCTAGAACTTATGTGGGTAAGGCCCATAGTTATTGAGTTGGTATGGGCTTAAAAGGGCTCAGATCCTTATTTCAGACTGGTAAAAACTTCCTTTTGTGCCATCAGACCCAGAGTCTTGTAGAAATCAGGTCTATTCCCCCCCAACCCATTTCCAAACTACCTGTTGAAAGTTTATTGTATTACAGTTTCCATCTTTGTAACTTTTTATCGGTGCACTGCAGTGATCCAGTTCAGTTTTACCACCATATTCGTGGCAGCCTTCCCACTGGCGCCGCTCCTCGCTCTCGTCAACAACATCTTTGAGATCCGCCTCGACGCCATCAAGATGGTCCGTCTGGAAAAACGCCTGATTCCCCGAAAGACCAATGACATCGGTAGGCAACGTGACCGAGCCCTCGAGTCAAAAGGTCATCGGTAGATCGGAGTATTTGTCGAGTGAGAGTGTAAACGGTGCATGAAGGTCAACCCAAGACAGCGTTCCCTGTGTGTATTGTGTGTATGTGACTGTGCTGTATTTCGTCTGCAGGTGTGTGGACAAACATTTTGGAGGCCATCGGCGTGTTGGCAGTGATTGCCAATGGTCTGGTCATTGGGATCACATCAGACTTTGTTCCTAGTCTGGTTTACCGCTACCGTTACGGCCCATGTAGCAAAGGAAACCCTAGCGCACAGTCCGTCACATCACCTACTTGTCCCATATGTCAACATGCTAGAAGAAGGGCTATACAGTGATCGTTCATGTATTCTATCTTCTTGTTGCAGCTGTATGCAGGGCTACATAAATAATACTCTGGCTACGGCCTACCTGAAAAGTGGAGATGTAGCCGAGTTCAGTCATCCCATGGAAAGGCATCTCTTCAATGTCACCCAATGCAGGTGAGACCACTTAATAACGTTTACCTTAAGTGTGCTTAAACTATTTTCACGGATTAGATAAAGCGTAAAAAATGTTGTGTTATGTGTGCAGCTACAGAGACTATAGGACTGAGGACTACACTCTGACTTCCCAGTTCTGGTTGGTCTTAGCCATTCGCTTTGCCTTTGTCATCCTCTTTGAGGTTTGTATTTCAGAAGTGGGGGAGACCATGTCGGTCATTTAAGCAAGAGCTCATGTATATGCCCTGTGCTTTTCTACAGCATGTTGTGGTCGTGTGCAAGTTTATTGCAGCTTGGTTTGTCCCCAACAATCCCATGCACGTAAAGAACGAACGCCTGACTGACAAACTGACTCGGCTGAGGGAGGAGTTACGGTGAGTCATCCCTAAAATGGATAGAGAGAATTAAGTGAACAGGAACTCCTGTCTTGAATATGCTCTGTTTGGGAGCATGTTAAAGACATCTTTAGTCTTCATGCAAATTCCTTCTCGGCTAGAACTCTTACACATCTGATAAATTGACCATCGAGGATGTGATGAATCGCACATTATGAAAGGGTACTGTTCTGTTTCTCCAACTTGTGATGTCATTAAGAGTCTTCGGGAGCTCAAAAGCCTCTGTGGGTTGTTGTTGTTTTATTAATATCCTATTTTCTAAACTCAGCTTACAGTATCTACTTTGATCAAACTTTGGCCAACACAGGTGGTTTGTGACATCAATGGGACTTGTCCAGAATCACTGGGGGCTATTAACTGATAGAGGAGTTTGAGTTTTTCAGTGCTGGGCCTCCTTCCATCGAAGCACATGTTGTGCAACAGTATTTCTTCACTTTTAACGTGGTATGGTCCCTCGGGAATCGTCCTTTATCTGATCCAGGCTCTCAGGTTTACCAGTGAAAGATAGTGTGGGTCTGGGATAGCACAGAGGATTCGGTTTCCTTTGGAGATTTTTTCACATTTGAAATTTAAAATGGTATGTCAGTATTAACTCATTGACTGCCAGCCATTTTTAGAACAGAGAGTTCCATACTGCCAGAGTTTTTTTTAGCATTTTGACAGATTTTTCAGAGCCACACAATAGTTTGTGCTATGACTATGTAAACACAGAACACACCAAAAGAAAGAGCAGACTCTCTTCTTTCATCAGGAAAAAAAATTGGTTTCTACCTTATTCCGTTCTTCCTCGACTTGCGTCTCACCGGCGACATGTTCTCTCATAGCGAACCGTTACCTTTTTCTTATTTGCCTACAATCTATGCTAATCTCCCATCAAAAGTGGCACTGCCACCTAGAGGGTCAATTTTTTAGTACATACTCTTTCTAGAAGTCTGATATTTACGGACAAGCTTTAGCAGATCGTCCCCCAAGCCACTCTCGTTGAAAAACATGAAAGACGTCTACAGACGTCTTTGGCAGTCAATGGTTGTATTTGAATTGACGTCTATAGACGTCTTTGGCAGCCAATGAGTTAAGCAGACTGTTCTATAGATTGTGTATGGAGCTCTTTGGTGTACCCCTTATAATCCTCTCTGAACCTGCTGATACTGAATGTCAGATTTACAAGTCATAAGATTTACTGATGTTCATGATCAAAGACTTGGGGGGCTGGGGGCTGGGGAGCTCGATGCAGACGCAAATTTTTTTTACTGATAATTTATGGATATAAAACATGTTCTTTTGTGCTGTAGATCTATTGATGTGACTTCACTGCGTCTTATTTTTCAATTTAGAGACAGAAAATACGTCAGATCAACAGAAGTGTGACTTGCCGTGTCTGCCTCAGATCTGCATCGGCTGACAAATCCCTGCGACTGCATGATGGAAGGAAAATGGATTCCTGTTTTTAATTTGGGGCTGTGACTTTCAAAATAAGTGTGTGAGCTTTATGTGCCAGGGTATAATTGCCTCACAGCTGACAGTTTTTTTAAAAACAAATTGTAAAAAAAAAAAAAAAAAATGTTTTTGTTTTATGATGAATTTGATGTCTCTTTCATTTTCATGTTTGACTGAATTTAACTGAATTGAGGGAGATTGGATTTAATTGAACACTTCACTAAAAGGGAACCTCATTATCTGCTGTTTTCCCAGGTCAAGTAGAGGACGAGCAGATTCAGGCATTCTTCAGACATTTTGAGTATGTTCATAGAGATTTAGAAGCATACACATTAGAATTAGTTCAGATGACAACTGAAGTAATATGAAAAAGAAGTTGATTGTCAGAACAGTGTTTTTTTCAAAGAATAAAAACCAGCAGTGCAAAAAAAAGTATTTCTTTTGGTTTCCTCAATTGTGGCTGTCATTAGCTGGATTGTAAATAAAGTTGTATTATATAAAATTGGGATGTTTCATAATATGTTGTAAAACCCCCCCCACAAAGATGTCATCTCAGTGTATTTTGATCATGTGATCATCACATTAACTGGATATTCCCACTGCATTCCATCAGCTTCCTTTAAAGATGTTGACACTTTGAGTTGTCGCTTTTCAGAGTAATCCTGTTGAATTTCACATATTACCTGCTCAGCCGCCACTGTCTTGACTCTCCTTTTTCAAGATGCCCCACAAAGTCATGAGCAGTGACTTGCGCCAACGATGCTGCTGGCATAATTCTCCTCAAAAAGTGCAGCCCCCCCCCGCATGGCTCTGGATGTCCCTTTTTTCACTCGCACTTTGACAGACCAAGCAGGTCCAACTGTCCAATCACTGTGTCTAATGATTTAAGCTATTTACCAGCCCGACCAGCAGGTGGAGCAAGTGCATTCATCATTCACGGCTTTTTATAACTCTGTATGACATATATGAATGAATTAATCTGTTTTTCTGACATACAGTTCAGTTTCAGTTTGAAGCTCTTAGACCTCTCAAATGTTCTACGGTCTACCAAGTGTTCACTAATTCTGACGCAAATTTACATCGCAAAGCAGCACTTTTGTTATTTATTCCTGAAATCAAACACGTAGCAGCACAGAACTGTATCTGCTGTGTATAAACTGCAGGTTTAACATGTTTCAAAGTAGTTATCCAGTCAGTTCTTATTGATGCAAAGAACCACCCCCAACAGTTACTGCAATGATTTTGTCAGAGAAACCTTAAGTTCAGCAGTGGATTTCTTTATTTTCTCATCCTCCTGAACTAAATATATTGGAACTAAGAAGCTTCCAGAATACAATATGGATGCAAACTGATTCACATCCTCTGATGACTGTGTCAACAATACAGGCAGAAAATGACATGGCAGCCTTTCATTTCCATAGTTACATCGACAGCAATTCATGTGATTACAAAAGAAGCAGCAGACTTTTTCCATGCAGACGTGCAGCGTGTCTGCACACATGCACGGGCCGTGCATGTGACGTGCCACAGATGAGAATCCCATGGTGCACATGAGTGTCAGAGCTGGGCTCCAGGCGGTTCTGCCTCTTTGCCCCTTACCCGCTGCTCATCCTGCTCTGGGACTTTACAAGATCAGTCTCTGGCCCAGGATCTTGCGGTTGATCTCAGCCAGAGCCACAGAAAACACAAAGGCCTTCTCATCAGAGAGGCCGGCGTAAATGTCCACCTCCTTCTCTTGTTTCTCTGCAGACACAAGCACACCAAATGTTCAGGCAAACAGCACTTCATGGTAGACACTCTTTTTAGAACGATCCCGACCGGTCACTGCTTTCGCCGATGTGGTAAAAGTTAGCACTGACCCCTCTGTCCTCTCTGGTCCTTCTGGTTTCCACATTAAGAAAACCATCTACCCCTCCATGCAGAGGGCTTTGTGCCTGGGTTAGTCCACATCTTATGGTAGGGGAAACCCTGCTCAGCTCTTGTGGATATGGTGCTTTACACATCGCCCATAATCCCACACAGCAGTGAATATCACTACATTTATCTGCAAGGAGGAGTGGGTCAACATCCCTGCAGAAATGTGAACAAACCTGGTTAGGGGGTTAGTTAACTTTCTATAGTTGGGGACCAGAACATCAACATCTGTGCTGGCTGTAAATGGCTTTTCAACAAAATATTACCATGCTCTTTGTCCAGGGGGTCAAATACTTGTTTTTTTCCTCATCAGATGGTTAGAAATTATTCTAAGTTCATCATAGATCATTGCATTTTTTGTAAGTGGGCACACATGCCAAATCAGGAAGAGGTCAATCACTTAGTTCCCCCACTGTAAATCAGAATCCTGCCAAGTGGGTTGTTCTCACCTTTTTCCTCATCCTGCTTCTTCAGCCCCACCGTTTTTGGCCTTCCTCGTCCCCGGCGGATGGTGTCGGACTGGTTGTTGGCCCGGGGTCTTCTGCGGTTCTCCATGTCACTGGTCAAAGGAGAGTCGATCCTCTCCTTGCGAATGCGCTCCGTTCTCCTCCGCTTGAAGTCCAGCATGTCTAAGACGATAATTGCAACCCCGCCGTTAGTCATGTTTTCAAGAGTGAGCAGAAGGTGCCAATGGCTCCCGGCCTGACCGGCTGAACAGGACTGTGCAGCTCTGATATCTGTGAAAACCCCTCACCACCCTAAAGGATAAGGTCAAATCAACAGGTTAACTCTTCTTTGCATGGATCTTCTGAGCTGGAACTCGGTCAAATGGAGCGCCACCAGCCACCAGGATCGTAGAGCTCCAGCTGGCCCTACTTCATATGCATGGATCCAAAACAGGGATCGTTTTCTTGAACAGAATGAACGCCTAAACACACAGTTTGCATATTGAAGTCTTCAGTCGTTAGATCTCAAGTCAAGGGTTGGGGGAAACAAATTCCCTATTCAAGCCTGCTCCTTCATTTGTTTACTGGCTGTGGAGAAGAAGGTAAAAAATATTAGGCATCACAAAACCCTTCAGGAACCAGAGGAGGAACAGGGTGTGGAGCTTTAGGGTGCTGTGGCTATAATGTAGGAAGGTGCAAAGAAAGCAAATGTGACAAAGACTTTGAAAAAGAGCAGTTTAAGATTTCAGATGAAAAGATTCACTCTGTCTTCTGAACCCCCGGCTGCTCCAATAAAAAGGCCATTCTTCCTGGTTCTGTTGTTGATGGTTTTGTCTTAATTCTGATTCTGATGGAGGTTTCGTCCTGGTTATGGTTCCGATTGTTTTGTCTTTATTAGGGTCTGATAGATGTTTTTTCCTGGCTTTGAAGGAAATATCTTCCTAGTTCTGGTTCTGAGGGTATCTTCCTGGTTCTGGTTCGGATATTCTTGTCTTGATTCTTTCTGGTTGTGATAGGTTGCTCTTAGGTTCTGTCCCACAGTCTCCTGATCTGTCAATTTCTCTCTTATACACATTCTCTAAGCGTGGATAGGACAGAAATTGGATCAGAGAGAAATTTCACAGCATCCTGCTGGTTTCTTTTAAGAAGAAATATTTGAATTGGACCCGTGTGAAGCGAACTCGTTTGATCCTACTGCATTACAATGACTTGGACGTAGCGAGTCGTGTCGGTCCTCTGCAGAGTTTGGGGTTTTGGGAACAAAACTGAATTGGGGTCCAGTTCCTGTGTCAACATGACTAAGTGTGTGCCTTCCTTCATGGGTGTAGGAAGGGGTTCCACATGCTATATTACACTTCTGCACACCACCACATTAACACAACAGCTGGACAACGAATCAAATAGTAACCATCAGATGGGAAACCAGCTTACCTGCTATGGCTGGTGAGCTGCACTCGCTGAGTTTAGCATTGAGGAGCTTCCTGCTAATGAACACATAACCACATGGACAGGACTTGCAAGCAACCGGAATCTAGACGGAAAAAGAAGAAAACGTTTATTCAAAAAGGTTTTATTCAAAATATTTACATGTTTCTTTCTAATGGCTGGTTACATAAAAAATGACTTTTTGGACATGTTTGGAATAATTCTAATATGTATTCATAATTAACTGGATTCTTACCATTTTGAAATGGATGGCATTTTTCAAGTACCCCGAGATGACATTTCTTATTACGAAAACTAAATCTAATGGGGAAAAGTAACACTTCTGTGGATCAGAAAGAGTCCTTCAGTAATTTGTTAGTGAACATCCATTTGTCTATGGTTACTGGGACAGTTATTTCTGCACCGTCAGCCAAATTAATCAGATGGAGGAGGAGGAGGAGGAGGAAGGGGTGCTCTGATACTGTCACACATCGTTCAAACTAAAAACTAACCAGAGGATTTGAGGGGGGGCGCATCTCGGGTTAGGAAACTTTTTAGTGAGCAGACTACCTCCATAGAGTCCACAAAGTCCGTCTGAAATTTAGAAAAAAAGGATGAGGGAATGACATCAGCTTGTAATCAAAGCTAGCAGCCTCCCTCTTCAGATTAGGAGTTAAAGGGGGATCTAAGTGTTGATGAAGTGAAAAGCAGAGCTAACTCAGCCTGAAGGGGGAACTTACTGTTGTCTCACTACGTGTACTTTGGAGTCGCTAAAACCCGTTTCCGTCTTTGTACACGTACGCTGCCGATAGCTTATCTATTTCCATTCCGATATGTCGATAAACTGTCCCTGTCAGAGTGTGCTCTCTTACCTGTTGGTCACATTCAGGGCAAGATTTCGTAGCCATTTTGACCTTCTTTGTTTTATTTGTCGACATAGTCCGTTTTCCCCTGAGACACGCCAATATATTTGCGGCAGTTCTCTGTAATACATGGACGGCGGCTGGTTTCCCCCAACACGCGCTCAGTCAAGCATGCCAAAAATGTACGTCGACAAGATACCAATTTTGAAATATATCAAGTTATCAGCGAGCACAAAACAAGAGTGCTGGTAGTATTAAAAGATGTGAGCATGCGCACTGCCTGTCTAGTTGTTGATGCGGTGCATTCAGGTTCGTTCGGGAAAGTGATGAATCTTCTATAAAGATAAACTTTTTACTCTTTTTTAGGTTTGTTTTCTTATCATATTGGATAGCATCTTTACAGCATTAACAGCGTTCAAAAGCATGACTCCCAGTGATGATAGCTGATAGAGCTCTCGGTGTGTCAGTGCTTCTCACGCCCCACTGAGCTGTTCGTAAGGGTGGCAGCTCAATGTTTTTGCAACGTTACGACTTTTTCAAATGACACATTCAAAGTCCTGGAAAGGTTCAATCTGAACATGAATTAAATCTGTGTTTAATTCCAGGCTGCTTTTTCTGTGGTCTCTTTTTGCTTTTCAGGATTTAGCTGTGTATCTAAGTCCCTAACCCTAAAAATAGTTTTAAAAACCTAAATATCAGTCTTTCCTTAATTTCACTGGTTTAAGTTATCAGAAGGTCATAGGCGGAAACCTACCCTCTTTTCAGGGACTACATCTACAGGAGCGAGAGGCTGGATTAAATTTCGAGATAATGTCAAGATAACATATCCAAATGTGTTTTATCTTACATTACAAACACTTTTTGCAAATATAACAAGAAAAAAATTAAATCTTTTCATGAAGCTTTGATTTTGGGTGATTTATTATTACATTCTGCCACAACTGGCTCTCTGAAGTCAATCATGATCTTCATGTGGTCCAAAATGAAAATGACAGGACAGTGCACATCACATCAACCATTTTACAAGCAAACCTTAGTTCAAATACTATATATTTTTTATTTCCTTCTATCAATCTTAACATAATTTGAAAGCAAATTTTGAAAAAAAATTAAAGGAGAGGAACTGGTTTGCAAAGCTCCAAGACTTTGGGCAGAAGGCATATCAGGATTGTTGGATTGTTCAGTGTCTGGAAGGGTTTCAAAGTCGGTTTGCTGCATAATGGCCCTTTAAACCCAGAGTGTTTTTTTTTTCTCTGTTCCGAGTGTTCCAGTTCAACTGGATCCCATTCATGCCCCAGCTCACATTTTTCTGCTTCTAAATCCGGGAACTATTTGAATTTAAGATCAATTTTTTTAATTGCGGTGAATATAAATGGATTAAATTAAAAATAGTCCTTTTAAGCGATGTGTCATCTTTTAGCCTTTTCTATAGCTTAAAAATGCCCAACCATTGCACCAAAGTGATGGAGTGATGTTAGTCCAGCTCATATCTCCCCATTTTTGTTTGCCGTTTGCGCTGCGACCGTGCGCTGCAATACATGCGTTTTCTTATCTTCAGTGGTGGTTAAATACGTTGTCCGTGCAGCTCTAGTCCTTCCTATATGCTTGAGGTCACGAAATTGTGTCATAACAAACAAGTTTTGCCGTCCACTAATGTTGAATTATTTTCAAATAATTTTTCCACCAGCCTACTACTTAGACCTGTAGATGAAAGCAGAGAAATATGTGATATGTCCTGTTGGTTTAGTCTTTTGTAACAGGTTGGTGGTCATAGCTTTTGGTATAAAAGTGTTGCACTCACTCATTTGTGTCTTAATTATCCATGAATAAATGAAGATACCCAGATTAACCTAATGCACCGATTGGTAAAAAAATAAATAAAAAAAACCCCAAAACAAATATTTAGTGAATCTTAATTTTATTTTGGTAAATGACAATTTCTATTGAATCTGCATTTTCATTGATCGATTTACAAGAGGGCTGAAACACATTTAACAGTGAAAACAAACATGTCAATATAGCCTCCAACAAACAATAGGGAATATAAATCAAACATACTGTCCTTTGCTGAAACAATTCCAAAATCGTGTACGTTATATATTCTGTGCATCAACCTGAACCGCCAACACAAAGCTGTGAAGAGTGGTGCACCACCGCCCCAAAGACACAGTGTCGCCAATCGCCATGGTTTGGTAGATTGGAAAGGAGAAAAAAAAAAGACAGATTCAGACGTTGTTAGAGAAGAAACTGAGAGCCTGCCAAAGAAAGACTGCTCGCTGGAGCTCTGAGAATGTCAAATGGGCCCAAAGAGAGATGAGAAATGACATCTGATGATGAGAGGGGTCCTTTAAGGGAAAGTCTGCCTGCTCATAAAGATGTTTCTCTGACACTTCGCATGGATATCTCTAACCAGCTGCCCATAAACACAGGAGTTCTGAAACATTGTTCAGATTTGAATGGAAACGCTGCTGATCACTCACAGCCCAAGTTTACATTCACATCTGGCCTCGTTCATGGCTTAGTAGTGCAACCTGCTTTAAGGCCAGTCTATGAATTTAGAGTACTTTAAGGCCACCACTGGACTCTGTAGCCTGAATCCACTTAGCTAATTCATACCTCAAAGAGGACAGATATAAACAGCTTGTTGTTGGTGGACTTGATGGTCGACCAGCACAATTCTACAGCCAAACTAGTTGGGTGAGAATTCATGAAGGATGCGTTAGAGACACATGCTTCTGAGCAAGTCCAACCAGTCGCAGCGCAAAGGAAACCGCTAAAGGATGAAGAACAAACGGCAAAGAAAGAAAGTTCAGATCTGGATGCGTCTGCTTGTCCGCAGCTCATATCGATGGAGAAATTTGTGTTACTTTGTGAGTGGGTGCAGTTTGACGTTATTATAGAGTGAAACATTTAGGGAGGGCTGAGCGCCGTTCCAAGACTGGGTTTTTTCTAAAGGACCAGGCCCTCGTAGGCGGGGCCCTCAGACTCTGGGGACTCCCTCTGCAGGCGGAGGTGTTCCAGTGTGTTGTGGAAATGTTTGTTAATCTGTTCCGTTTCTTCGCTCGCCTCCAGGTTAGGGAGGTCCTCCCTGATCTTCTGGATCAGCTGGTTTAATACCTGGACTGTCACCTGAATGGGGAGATGATGAGAGACAACTTTTCACAGCGTGAAAATTTGCATTGCATTCCATCTTAAAGGAATTGGTCTGAATTGTCAGTTTCACCGCACAAAGCACCCTTTTCTATTATTCTTGTGAATGTGATTCGTTAATTACAGAAAAAGGATATTTGTTAGGGTCTTTTTATTGGTAGAAAAGAAAGCTATTACTACACGTTGGTCTAAACCTTTAACGCCCAACTGTAAATCAACGGAGAGAGAGAGAATAGTGAGGGTTTATACAATGGGGGAAATTACAGCTAAGCAAAAGCTATCCATTTGATTTATTTAAGCAAAGTTGAGGCCCACTGCACGTAAACTTTAACTTTTTATTATTTGTAAAATCTTTACGCGAGTGTGTGAATAATAGAAAAAAATGACTGATCTCAGCTCTCCAATATGTTCAGATCTTATCCAACTGTTCTGTAGGGTTATGCTGGAAACTGATGTTTGATTATTATGTGCCAAAGATTGAGAGTGAACTGTGAATGTAACATCTTTATATATATAATAAAAAGCTATCTTGTTAAAAAACACAACAAAAAAAAACATGTTCTTGATCCTGGAAGTGTTATGCAAGCATAGATTTACAGCAGATCTCCCTTTTAATCTGCCCTCACACAGGAAAAAAAATCCAGACTTTCTTAGACAGGGATGGGATCGCTGCAGAGCAGATTAACAGCAAAAGCTGAGAAACAGTGATGTCCTACCGCGTCGTTCTCTCTTTCGTAGAAGCAGATGTATCTGTTGAGTATTTCAATGAACAGCTGGACTTGCAGTGAGGAGTCCATGCACTGGTTGGCGATCTTCAGGGCTTTCTTTAGACACTCCATCACCCGCTTCCCATCGCGTATCTAAAAATGAATTTTTAGAGTCACAGACAGAAATATTGCAGATGAACAGGAGCTGATTAGAGGGGAAATATACAAACACATAATAAATACTAGTGTTGAGTGCTACAACGACCAAAAGTCACAGCCAACAGGATCTTACTAAAATATTGAATCCAAAGCCTCATAATTCCAAATCTCCCACCTAATTTTCCCTTCAGTATATTGTTCTAATGAATGAATCATGCTGTGAGTTCAAGTTGAAGTGACAGCACCGAAAAGCCTCATTTCAACCCACCTCCTCCCCGTTTTTGTCTGTGCTGCGGCCGGACCAGAAGAGGTGAGCGCATGTGCTGACAGCCCGGCACTGGTCGGGCTTCTTCAGGAGCTTGGATGCGGCCAGGGCGCACTGGGTTCTCAGAGGCTCGTGGTTCTCCTCGCTGAAGCACCTCATCCGCTCGAAAGTGCCGATGATCAGTGTGATAGCGGCCAGCTGGGCTTTGGAGTCACTGATCTCGTCCTCGTAAAGAGAGAAGGCCTGGTGTGGTGAGAGCAGGAGGGTGGAGATGGTGTGGGACAAGCGGAGGAGAGAAAGAGTGAGAGAAATCCTCATATATATGTGCTCAGAAGTTTAAAAACCCCTGCAGAATTTTTGCTTTCTTGGATTTTTTCCATATGAATGGTAACAAACTTTGTTTTCCACAGTGTTTAATGGTTGGGTGATGCCATTTATTGATAAACAACTGTGTTCTCTATTTCTAAGTCATGAAACATCCAAATGACCCTCATTCATTTGGAATGAATGAGGGTGATTTTGGCCTGACAACATGCACAAAATTGACACAAATGGGTTTGAATGACTACTAAAGGGGACCATCCCCCCTGTAAGCTGTTTGCTTTCAATCAGTGTGTGTGCACTAAAGCCGAGTGAGTTTCTGGGGATCAAGACAGACTTTTGCGTCTTTCATCCAGCCACTGACGTTTCTGGATTATGAGTCACGGGGAAAGAAAAAAGATTTCTCAACTGATCTACTAGAAAAGGTAGTTGAACTTTATAAAGCAGGAAAGGGAGACACAAAGATATCCAAGGAATTGATAATCCCTGTCAGATTGAAAAATGGAACATCATACATGGTCAAGTCACCAAAAGCCATTACTGCTCAAATACCACAAAGTATCTCGCCTTCAAAACACCAAAGAGAACTGACAGGAGCCTTAAAACTTCTGGAACAAGGTAAACTGGAGTGACAAGACCAAAAGTTAACTGTCTGGACACAACCATAAATGCTACATTTGGAGTCAACCAGGCCTATGGTGAAAGTAACCCTACTGTAAGGCATGGATGGTTGGGGGAGGGTGAGTTGAAAGAAAAGATTAAAAGACGTTATCAGCAAATACTGCACTCATCAACCACGAAAATAAAGTTTTTTGTGTTATTTATAATCACTGAAAAAAGTCCAAGAAAGCCAAAAATCTGTAGGGGTACATCAGCTTCTGAGCACAACTGTGCATAGAAGTCATTACTCTACCTGGGACATGAACTCGTATGCTACAGTTTCATGGTTCTCGAAGCCTATCTCGCCTGCAGCCAGTGCCCCCTGCAGGAAGAGCCGAAGAGGAAGCTCGGAGAGTTCGGCCTTAATGAGTGCGCTGATTGTCTGGTGGGCAAAGGAAAATATCTTTTGGCACTTCTTCTCCCACTTATCATCCTGAAAGAAGAAAAAGAAGAAGAAGAAAAAAAAAAAAAAGTCGGTTACAGCAGACATTAAAATCCAGCCTGTGAGGCGCTGGAATTCAGAGGCCGCTCACCACTGAGGAGTTCTCCTTGTATCTGAACGCTAGCTGATATGCAGCAAAAACCAGAGGAGGCAGAGTGTAGCGGATCCTCTGGTTCCCACCGGCACCGAAATGCTTCCGGGCCGTGTTGAGAATCTGAAAGTAAAACATTAAGTCAGTACCACTATAATATCAGTACCGCTTCTTCAGCTTCTAAGAAAAAAATAAGATGTTTAGCATCAACTGTCTACAAATCCTCTATAGACAGCGGCCATCTTTAAAGAAGCAATGTATTTCTAGATTTAATTTAGGGAATTAGTTTTTAATGTGTTTCTTAATGTGTAGTGGTCAGCAGTTATCTCTCATATGTAACCTACTGCTATATAATAAAGATATCCCAAGGCTTAGATAACCCATCAGTTACAGGCTGTGAGCAGGAATCGCCTCTTAGTGTGAAACACTAAAATGACCTCCAAATTACAAAGCAGAACTACATATCTCTAAATGGATCCAATACATTCTGTACATATGATACACCGTGCACAGTGAATGCAGAGGGGAGAACTTACAAGATATTGTTGGTCAGGATCTTCAGAGTGGAACAGGTGGATGAACCGTCCCACCAGGCTCTGCTCTTCGGCAAAGTCCTCTGGGTCGGGCTCATCGGCTGGCTGGTCCGGCTGGTCCTGGATCAGTGTCGATACCAAGCTCAAGATGGCGTCCACCTGGAAAAAACGACACTTCTGCTAAGTCGCCTGCTATGAAGGTGTTCAGGCTAAAAGATCCCAGAGGGGACATGAACACCTTTTTAAAGGTTCCAGGTTCCATTGCCAATTGAACCGGAGAACTAAACTAGGCGCTTTAAAGATAAATGTGAATAACTTTACAGTTAGGTGTGGAAATGTAGCTCAGATATTTGTGATGGTGGATGATTGTTGTTATATGTATGTGTGTGCATGTATCATATTTTTCTTCTTATCATTGATGAGCTGTAATGCCGCTATTTTCCAATAACCTGGGCTTGTGCTGAGCTCGACTCTTATACTCTTAAATTCTCTTTGATGCAAAGGGACAGCTGATTTTCATTTTACAATGGATGAATCATCATGGCTGGAAATATGGTGGTTAGCTATGGAGATCTTCCTACGTAACAGAACCAGAGAGACCCTGTTTAGAACACTACATCACTTGCAGATCACAACGCAGCTAAGACAAAATATGAACTTAAGCTTGTCCGCAAAGCGTACCAAATGTCAGGTAGAGGTGGGAAGCACTGTATGTGGACATGTATTCATGTTGAGGAGTACAGGGGTAAAATTATAGGTAAACTCAATTGGATTTTTAATGTCCAGCTTGACGCTGATCCTCAGATTCTGCTTCTTGGCTTTGCTAGTCGTCACATTAAAGGGTTTGATGGTAGGAGGCGACTCATTACTTTCACATTTGCTGCTTGGGAAAATATATTGCTTAGGTGGATTGATAATGCTCCACCTACAATTAGGGGTTGGCGCAAAGTGATATTTGACTTGCTACCAAAGGGAATATCTAACAAATCCCCCCCCCCCGGTTGTATTGTACTGAGTATATCACACGACAAATTGTTGGAGGATCGTTTTTGTTTTGTGACCTTGTTTGTTAATGTTCGTGTCAGAAAATAAAATAAAAATATTTTTAAAATGTAACTAAATCTGGGTGAGAAGAATCCTGGTGAGAAGCACTTGCTTTCACTGGTAGACCAGTATTTCATTCTAAATGCCTGCAACAAACGGCCGACCTGCTCTTGGGCCACGATGATGGTGTTGTATTCCAGCGTGTTGCTCAGGACGTAGCAGCTCATGCTCTTGCGTGACTCGTAGTCAAAGTACTCAAAGAGCGGTGGGAAGTGCTTGAGCTGCAGCACCATCAGGATGCTGTTGTAGGAGTCCACGGGGATCTTCAAAAGCCGGGTCAGTTCCTTTGAGACAGCACTGCTGGTGGCTATGCTGCAGGAGGAAAAAGATGGTGGTTAATAGCGTAAAAGCCCTGCTGTTGTAACTGTTAATGCATAGTGAGTGTAGAGTTGCTCCTAAAAACTTGTTAAATCTTGTTGCGTTTGCCATTTTCTCTTTTTACATCCTGTTCACCACTTTATTTTTAAAACGTATTCATTTTCCTTTGTCAACACAAAAAAGCAAAAAAACAAAACAACAAACAGTGACTCAGTTACCTTTAAACAGTATCTATATTAACAGAGTAAAAAAACTAAAAAAACAACCCTGTAGAAATGAAGTGCATAAATAAGGGAAATCCTGTTACTATGACCTACCAGGGAATCCCCTCTAACAGAATAGAACACATACTTTAGAGCTTCAAACTTCAAACTGGCTTGAGCTTCAATGTGTTACGCAAGTGAAATATTCCAAAGACACTAAATCAAACAGCACTTTATGCCATCCCTTAACATTTGGCTCCTTATTGCTTCAACAATATTCTTTCAGGCTGCAAATATAAGTACACAGAACAGTCTTGGAATAGTTAACCTTACACCTCCAGCAGGCAAGCCTGATATAAGAGACAGTGGCTCCATCCACAGCTTCAGTCCCAGTATCTTTTCCATTTCAGTTGGGACATTAGACCTGTTTATCACTTTTTATAGCTCTAAAAGCTTTAGATTTTATTTACAAATCTTAAAAATACCTCAAATCCAAACTAGTTGAGGAACACATTCCCCCCTCTGGAGGTGGGGTTCGCATTGATGGCTTAAGTGTTGTGTATGCTTTGTGTCCATTGTGCATGTGTTTTTTTGTTTTTTTTTCCCACAAGCACTGAACTTACTGCTCCAGGTTGAGCTTGTTGAATATTTCCACCGTGCTCTCCAGGACTTTATCGACGTAGTCCACGCGGTCTGGGTAGCATTTCATGGCCAGATTGATGAGAGAGACCTGGAGGGAGACCACGTCCTCCGACGGCATGTCCTGACGGGACTGAAGGGGGAGGGGGCTCATGAAAACAGACCGCTCTGAAGAAGCCACACACTAACAAACTGTACACCCGTCCCTTTTGAAACGCACATGTCAGGATAATGAAAAATAGACTTCTGTCCAAAAGAGAATCGGTTTCAACCCGGATGCAGTTGGCAACAGGCATTTAGAGTTCACCAATTTCTGAACATGCTTTAGAACAGGTCCACCTCACTCACCTGGATAACAGTGGCCACTTGCTGAGAGAAGATGTCAAACAGTTTAATCTCAGCTGGAATGCCTGGGCCATCTTCTCGGTGAGCAAACAGAGCAAGTCTGACAAAACAAAACAACATCTTTTCAGCCACACGGCCAGAACCAAAATGGAAAATAGCTGTGTGAGGGAGTAGCGCAGAGAGCACACATGAACACACAACACTACAGCACAGAGCTACACCAATAAAACTAATTTCCACTTAAAGACAAACAGAAACGTGGATTCTAGGACACTTTAATAGCTTTATATGAATTTTTAGGCCAAATGAATGCCATGAACCGAACAGAGGGTATATCACTTATTTTCGTTCACATGGTCCAGATTCTGGCTCAACATGAATCCAATACAGTTTCAAAACATGTCTGAACCCTGCTCCACATCATGTTTGATTATAAAGCAATCTACTGGGCAAGGGATGATGTCCTGCGAGTAAACCTTTGTGCGTGTGCTAGGAGTGACTTTCCTGGCAACTAGTGTCTGACAGTACCTGTCAATGAGGGCAATGATGATGTTTTTGACATTGACATGTTGGTGGAGCTCAGCGCAGGATCGGAGAAACGGGTTCAGGGTCTGAAGGTGGAACTCGTCAGGGAAAACCTACAAAGACGACATGGTTTTAGTTAGGGCAGCAGGTCTGTGCGTCTTACGATATATGAAGGCAGAAAATCGACACAACTGCCCATTGTTTAATAATCAAATTACTTACCTAACCCTAAAATTCCACACAACTAAACCTAACGCCAACCCTATACCTAACACTAACCCTAACCTAACCACAAAAAGGCAGGGAAAAAAAAGAAATGGTAGGATTTCAAAACGGCATACTAGCACAGCCCTGGATGGAGTGTGCACAAGTGCACTTCCGTTAGGGTTAATAAGACATCATACATTACATGTCAGGCATTAAAAAAACAGCTGTAGGATTTTTTTGCTTTTAATTGCAAACTTAAAGGCGGAGCATTAGGATCTGGAGCTCATTTGCTCCCTCTGGGTCAGAAAACAATTCCATCACTTTCTGTCCAATGCAAAACTATAGCTTTTAGTTCGGGATCCATATAGAATATTCCATTCCTCTCATTAATGCTGAGTGAAGAAACAGCAGGGTAAAGATGACCTTACAAAAGAGAACCCTGTTCCTTTCCATCCCAAAAGTTAACGTGACCTCACAAACAGAGGTGGAAGACTTTACATCAAATATGTACAGTTTTTAGAAACTTAGAGGAAGAAGGGATGCTGTTTGATGTCGTTTACCTGAATAATGCACTCCATCAAATACTCCTGAGCCAATGAGTCTCTACAATTAACAACTTGCTCCAGCACACCAGCAAGAACTATCTGTGGGGAGAAACAGGGAGACATGCAGTAAACCCACACTGTGCGTTCTGAACAGGTCACAAATGATAACAAAGAGAAAAACCTAAACATTTTCATTCTGAACCAATAAGAAATGCTCGGGTCAGGGGCGTGGAGATCCCACCCCCAGACGTAGCAGCATGTGCTGGCTTCTATGACATATCGCGGGCACAAAGAAAATGGAAAACTTCACGTTTGACCAAAATGGGAGGCGAGCGCGATTTTGAGCACATCATTGATCCTCGAAGAGTTTGTTCATTATCTGCAAATATGGATCGTCCCTCTGCACGCATGGAACCACAAGCTCTAAACAAATTATCCTGCCTCTGCAGAGGAGTCATCTGCATTTACAGTGCTAACACTGCTCAACTGGTGAACTGATCTAAATTATCATTACTCTTGTAATTGTTCCCCAGTGTGTAGGTCACACTGTTCTACATCCATCGTGCTGCATTGTTGCATGTGGGTTGTCCCACGCCGCCATTCTCCACCTGTGCAACTTCTTGTTTCATCATCACATCAGAGGACAGGTAAATGGGAGGGTGTTCCTCGTGGAACATCTGGGCTGCTTGAGCGCAGCTGCGGAGGCTGTGCGTGGTGGCATGCCAGTTGCAAGCAGTTTTCCTCGGCTGCAGCCCTGATAGCTATGAAGGAAACCCCTCAAAGCCAAAAATGCAGACCAGCGTGTACCCCAAAACTGCTGGGCATATTTCTTTAAACATAGGCACAGTCTCTAAAAACTCTTATTTCACGATGGTTTCAACCTGAAATCTCCACACACACACACACACACACACACACACACACCTGTTTGTATTTGTCCACGTTGACGCCCTCCAGCTGGCTGAGGCGAACTAGATTGGTGCCCACCAGAATCCGCAGCTCCTGCCGCTCCTTTTCTCTCTTCTCCCTGTCTCGGCTGTGACCTTGATGCTGCATTCGGACCCACAACTTGTTCATTTCCGCAAAGTTCAGGAGGACAAAGTCGATGGAGTCGTTGATGTCGCCGGTCATCTCCTCTGACCCCCTGTGGAGCAAAAGCTCGACTTTAGTGCAAATGTTCGTGTGATGGCACAAAAACATGATCACCGTCCCGTTAGTCCACTTCTGAAATAATCAAAACCCAAATAAACATGGAAAGTCTGACTTGGATGTGGAGGTGTTTCCTCCTGGAGTTCTTACAGTCTTTATAGTATTGGGGTCAGACTGAAATACAGTTTGGTTGGCAGACAGGAAAGTCATTTGAGTTTGCTGGACTTTGCAAACAAATATGAAATGAAAGTTGTTTACCTCGCCCAAATAAGGTGGTGAGAACCAGCCCCCACGCAGCCCCCCCCCCCCCTTAGCTTTGCTGTTATCTACTAAGTGGCAAACCTGAGTTCACGTCAATGCATAAATGTGATGTGTAAACAATAGAAAGAGACTGGAGCTACCTGCAAAGAGGTGTGTTTGAGCACACCCTACCTTAAAAGAGGTAACTGAGAAGCAGAAGAGACGAGTGGTTCTTGTGAAACATAAGGGGGGTGGGGGGGATGCTTCCATCTGATATCCTGTAAGGTTTTTTTTTCCAAGGACAAACCTAACAGTGCTCATCGGCTCATATCAGGAAGAATGTGTTACTCTTACATTCTGGCCTGAAAAGGTCCACACGGCTGCTGGGTAAAGGGAAGCAGAGAGCAGGGCTTTCTTACTCTGGCTGTTCCCCGTCGTCTGGCAGTATGTTGCGGGTGCACTGCAGCAGGTAATTTCGGAGGAAAAGACCCCTCAGTGGGTGCTGGACGCCACGACACATCTCTACTAGGTCCTTTAGGATGTCCTTACGTGACTGAGGGAAGGAGCGGACATACACCACACCAACTGTGATCAGGAGATAGCTGGGGGGGAGAAAAAAAAAAGCCAATTCATGACATCATACCAAGAGGGTAAGGCAGCAGGGAAAAGTTGGACGTTTTTTTTTTTTTAGTGGAATCAACAGTTAAAATAGAACCCGAGATTTAGCTAGTGGACTTCTGAAAGACCTCTGAGTGGTTTCTGAGGGCGAGACGGGAGGTCTCAGGTGTGGGATACTCACAGTCTGGGGATGATGTTGCCCGCGTACTGGACCAGCTCGTAAAGGTCTGCCACCTTGCGGCCCTTGGCAAACTCATCAGTCAAATACACCTCCAGATAGTGGAGTTCATCAGAGATGGCCATGTCTGAAGACACTGTTAGGGACCAAAGTCTGTTTCTGGGCTGGTTTGCTTCCTCGGTCTAACTTAACAGGGTCAGTGAAGGCAGCTGAAGTTGCTGCGAGCCTTGAAAATGAAACCACTGCTGACGCTGGGAGTGACCCAATTGGCTCATGTCCTGCCTATCTGAACCTTTTGACCACACTTTACCTCTCCAACTGGAGGCCCGGCTGATTTTTCATCCGTCGTCTTTTTTCAGTACAACGATCTAATCATCCTTCATCATTACATTCAAAATATGACCCAGAGAAATAAAAGATACAGAGCTCATAGTAGCTCTTGGGAGAGAGCATGGAGGTCCTCAGCTCACCCAGCATGTTGGAGGCATGCTTTAAAGCATCCATCAACTTGTTCTTGTCCTGCAGAGCAGAGAGTGACAAAAAAAACTCATGCATTAAAGGGGAGGTGCTGCATTAATTGGCGCTGCTGTCATGTGTTCCGAAGGAATTTCTGGTAGAAGGTACCAGTCTTAAAAGTCTATATATTACCTGCGATAAACAGAGAAGCATTTGTTTTGATCTTGTCAGGGGTAGGACACAAAGCCCAACAAAGGGCCATCAGCCCTGACAGGAACAGTCATGTGGCCTTTGTGCCCTATTCATCTTATAACTGGCCTAAAAATACATTCTAAATCACTGCCCCGTGCTTAAAAGCTTATATTTAGGTGTCAGAAGTCACTCGTAATTCAGCCTAAAATGGTTAATTTTAAACTAAAACACAAAGCATGCCACAGCAGATTAATTACTGTGAGTTTAAACAAGTGTCACAGCAGAGGGAGCAGGAAATGGAAAAGGTTCACTAAAGCACAATCCCCCTACCAGACATCGCTTCATCTGGAATGACTGGACCTTAACAGCCTGAACCGCTTCATCGAGAAGCTTTTCCTGTTCATCCTGAGGGGATTGCTGGGTGGTTGGCTGTAAAAAAAAAAAAAAAAAAATTATAATTATAATTTAAAAAAACATTATAAGAAAAAACAACAGAAAATACACTTCTTATTTTCTATTGCAGGTAGCGTTTGGTTTGAATGAACACTAGGGTTGCTTATTTTGTGTTTCCCACCACAAATCCATAGATCAATCACCTATCACCTAGACCTATCATCTATCACCTGGAAATTTATAGATTTAGATTTTCTCATAGAAGTGTCGTGCACCAAACACCAAAGCAAATTCCTTGTAGGTGAAAAACCTACTTGGCAATGAACCTAATTCTGATTCTGATCCTAATATGGAAATTTGGACAGAGACAATAAGGACAAATTTTGCCTTTGTTTTTTTAATGAATGACTTATAGAGCAAAAACATCACAGATGCAACCAAGAGCGGCCCGGCCTTCTCAATGAAGCCACTGAATGGCTTCCTAAAACAGGAAGCCATTTCCAAAGCACTGCAAAGGCAGAACCAGAGGAGCTAAAACCACAGGGGCAGAACCAGAGGAGCTACAACCACAGGGGCAGAACCAGAGGAGCTACAACCACAGGGGCAGAACCAAAGGAACTACAACCACATAGGCAGAACCAGAAGAGCTACATCCATGGAGCTGACATTCTGTATAGGGTGGCTGAGCTACTGGTCACCAAACTTTTTGCCCTTTAGGAAATCAAAAATTATCCTCATCCTTTTCTCCTGTCCTTACCTTTGGGGTATTTTGTTCCTTGTTTTTTAAGTTTAAAAAAGCAACAACATTGAAAAGTATATATCAATGTTGGTGTGTGTGTGTGTTCTTAATAAACACCCTGAACGCTCTTTGTGGACCTTTTTAATTTCCATGTAAAAACAAAAACAAAAGGGGGGCTTTAGCTATTCAAACAGGGGGCTGAGTCACACCTCTCATTTAGTATAATTTAAAATGATGAACAGAGGGGGAGCCCACAACCGCGTATGCTCTTTCAAATGTCTGGAGATGGCCGGTTGTAAATGTGGCAGTCTTGAAAGTGAATGTTAAAACAAATCCTGGCTTTCCCCGGTTCATTAACAGCTGTAATGAACCCATTTCTTCTGCAATGGGAGCTGGTGTCATGGCTCTTCTTGAAGGCCAACCAGCGACGCAAACAGCTGAAAGATCCACGGCCGGTGCAGCCATTTCCGCAAACCTGTGTCCCTGACGGTGTTCACAACATTGAGACACTTTGCTCCGGTCTATCGATTGTCCGGTCAAAGCTTACGCCAGCATATACTGTCCTCGGACGTTTACGGAGAGAATGTCCATCTTTATGACAGCCAGGAGGACACCATCCAGGAAAGCAACAAACTAAGCTAACAGATGCTAGCCGTAGTTCTGACACCTTTACACCGATACGTCTCATGGATGTTACGACCGTAAGTCACCGGCTTATCCGGCTACCTGTGTGTTATGGAGTAGACTGTGTGTGTTTGGTACACACATGTCAGTGTATCGTGTGAAATTAAACGTTTAGAGAAGCCGAGGGTTGTTAGCCTAGCTTGCCGCTGTCAGACCTGGTCCCAAAACGCTAGGCCACAGCTCCGCTCGCGTTCTCGGTGATTTTAAACCAGCTTGAGTCGCACTTTGAATTTGCCGTTACCTAGCTTCAAACTTTACACTGGTTCGTGTCAAAACGAGACAGGCACACCAGCAGCATGGTTATCTTTGAGGGAAAACTGCTTACCATGGTTATGGGACTTGCTTCAAATCTTTCCGAGACGCTGCTCTGTCATGTGACCCACATTAATGACGGTCCCAAGTGGGCGTGGCCTGCCTGACTGCGCACTGCGCGGGGTGCGGAAAGGCGTTTTATTATTTATTTGTTTATTTATTTATTATCCAGAAAAAAGCAGGAACATAAATATTTTGTCCATTTTGCACAAACAAAAAAGGAATAATGAACGCACAACCACTTCAAGCGCAAAAAAGGATACATTTAAAAATATGCTATACAATTAAAGACAATACATATGAAATGAATCTGACAACAAAAAAGAATTCTGAAATAAAATAGCTGGGGTTTAGTTTGAGTTTTATATAAAATTCTTCAGTTAAAGAAAAAAACTTTGAGGGCATTTTATGGTGCATTGTACTAAGAGCTTTGAGGTATAAAAGAAAGCAATTACGCAATGCATAAAACTTTGGCTGGATTTGAAGGAATTTGGCCTGTATGAAAAATTAACAAAGCAGTACAATAGAATTTAAATTCTGAGGGAAACGCTGGTCCACATCTTTAACTAGTAGGTGGCGGTAATGCGCATCCCTTTTTTTTTTTTTTTTTTTTTTTTTTTCTTTGCCAACTGCTCAATAAAATAAACACTCACGAAGAAGAAAAAGCGGAAGTGGAACTGAAAACATAGCTGCGCCCTATGTGGGCACCACGGAAAGGACTTTTTACTTTTATACTTTCCTGAATAAGGTTTTGATCGCGTAGTGCTCCATTAGTATGTGGACGAATGTTAGGGCGTCGGGAGCCTTCCTGAAAAGCTTTAGTAATGTCCTGCACTGTGGAATGTGGAGAGAGTGGAGGGTGGGCACGCAGGGCTGGAAACTTATGTCATCATCATCATCCACACTGCGATGGAGGCTCCTGTTTTTTGGTACCGATGATTTCGCTGTGGAATCTCTCAAACACCTAACATCCAGCAGGTGCGAGCTACGATTAACTTTACTTGTTTTGACCACTGATCATACAACCCTCATAGGTACAGCTTAGTTTATACCCAAAGCAGTGCTGCTGCAGAGGTTCAGTTATAAATGGGTTGTAACAGCCACAAGTTTAAATGTATGTGTGTGTACACAAGGTCAAAGTTTTGTGAGTGGCAAGTGTGCGAAAGTGGTACTGTGCCTCTTTTTGTCACAGTCTAAAACAAGTGTAGGGTAATGCCTATGGGGAGATGGTCTGCCTTTGAAGAAGAACAGGATTTGTTTAACAGAAACTTTTATGTGGCTCTGAAGACAAACATGCTGCTGAGCATTATGCAATGTGACTGAAATGATGCACTCAAATTGCACGGTCCAAGTTTGAGCCCCTTTGCAAACTGACCAACGCCTTTATATTTTCCTTTAGCAGGAATTCCGCAGAAGGCTTAGTGGAGAATCTGGAAGTTGTTACATTGCCTGGCGACGTCCCAGTGAAGAGGTTTGCCCTGAAGAACAACATCACACTCCACGCCTGGCCGCCCAACCTTACCCAAGGACAGTTTGACGTCGGTGTGGTCGTGTCTTTTGGCTGTTTGCTCCATGAGAGACTTATCAACAAGTTCCCATAGTGAGCATTCCTTACTTCTCTTTTCACTTGATGCTGCTGGCCCCTCCGTCTGTTTGCAAATACCAGATGAAAAATAATGCACATCCCTTTAGTTCTAATGTGCTTTTATATATGGGCATTGAATTATGACTAGTTTCTAACTCATCCCTGAAATGAGCTCTGGACCAGCTTCCATCTGCAGAATAACACAACATTTTCTGCATGGTCGCCTCTGATTTGGCCCTCTTTTCCTTCCATGGTCATTAAAGTTAACAGAATTGGTTTGTGCACAGCTCCCTGAAGCTCCCCCTACAGCATTTAGTTAGCCAGAGGTCAAGGTTCTGACTGGACTGTTGCAGTACCTTGATTATTTTCCTTCTCTGACCTTCTCCTGTGGATCCTCTGCTGTGTTTGGGACCCTCGATGAGTCAGTTTCAACCCAGCTTTAGCTGTGGGACAGATAAACTCATCTTTTATTCTGAATACTCTGGTATCCAGATGAGTTCACGGTGGATTCCCAGGCCCCGGGGCTATAGAACCAGCCCAGATCATCATCCCACCGCCCAACATGCTGACATGCTGTGTTTGGTTTCTTTGCACTCTGACCAAACAGCCCCGCTTTGCTCTGCTCTTTGTTCCAGAAGTCTGGTGCTTTATACAGATGCAGCACTGCAAGCCTGAATCATACCACCATGTTTTTTTTGTGTTTTTTTTTTTTTTTTTTAAACCGGACAAGAGGCTTTCTCCTGTAGCCACACTGTCATGACCTTTAACCCTTGACCTGTTAAGTGATGGGTGGAGTCTGAGAGAGTAGCTTCAGAAATTTTGACCTTCATTTTACATCCCTTCCTGTGAAGATTGACAGTTGTCCCGACTGTAATTCCACTTGGGAATAAAGGACTCAAATAGTTTAGAAATGGCCTCATTATCATATAAATAAATTAGACAAATTACCTTTAAAATGAGTCATCTTACAGAGTACTGATGACAAATGCACTTCAGTGATGACAATGCGTTTTTATTGCACACTGGCTGGCAAAAAGTCTTTTAAATAATTTGTATTACCCAACACTTGACCCTATATTTTCCAATTTCAGAGCTAAATAAAGCTCTAAACAAGCTTGCCGACATGAACAAAAGCACGCTTAGACCCATCATTGTCTGCATGACTATGTCGTGTATCATTGTCATTGTGCAACCTTCTGTTGAGGCAGCAGCAGGCATGTATGAATTTGATATGCTTCTGTTTCATGGGAATCACCTGTGCAGCGGGATATTGAATGTTCACCCCAGCCTGCTGCCCAGGTGGCGAGGTCCAGCACCCATCTTCCACACCATAATGCACGGGGACACTGTAACAGGGGTCACCGTCATCCAGATCCGCCCTCACAAGTAAGCAGGAGGAGAAACTCAATCTTTCCCTGTGTTTTCTTCTGACGTACAAGTGATATTCTGAAATCAATCAGCCTTCAATCTACCTATATCTGGAATGCAATTAACCTCCTGAGAGCCAAACTTTTATGTGGTGTGCATTTGATCTTTTTTCCAGATATCTGGGATTAGTAGGACTTAATAGGTTTAATACCTTTGTCATGGTACAGGTAGTTTTTCCTCAAAGAGGCTCATTTTGTTTATTATTTTATTTAAGATGTGAATTTATAGATATGATTACAGTAAATGTCTTCTCTGCAATTGGTTTTGACTGTTCGAGTTATGTACAAAATTTGAATGACACAATAAGAACATGATTGATTGAAAATGTGTAAATCCATATTACTTTAGATATCAAACAGTAGTATCTGATAGCATCTGCTATGAGCAAAGAGGTCAAAGAAAAAAGAAGTATCATGGTAAAAAGAGGCTGAAATGCAGCGTTGTCATAGGAGGAACAGGCTCTCAGGAGGTTAAGGAAATCAATGGGGATACTTAATCGCTCTCAAAGAATTGGGGAGACAAGAGGTGTGAATTTTCCAACCAGAAGATGACGGAATTTACCTTCGAAATAAAGTCAAAACACTAGAGAAAAAAGTGGGAGTGCCTGATGGCAAATGAACACGCCGGAAGATGCCAAGAAAGTGAAAAATGACAAAATTGGAGAGTGGAAGAAGCAGGGCAAAAGCAGAGAAAAAAAACGTAAAAGGCCTTTAAATTTTATTTTAAAAAGCCTAATTTTCATATCTACAACAGCGTCTGGGAAATTTTTCATTTTTATTTAATTCAAGACTACAAAGAAAAGTTCTCATGAAAAAGGTAAAAGTTTCAATAAACCAGTATGAATAATATGCTGAGTTGCTGAATTAAGGTAGCGGCAGATTCCAACCTGTTGGACAATTCGGGAAAATTAGCTGCAAAACAGATGGAAGGTGACCTTATTCGACCTCATAGTTGAAGCAAAAAAGGTTCAACATAACGAAAAACTAACAGCAGAAGGATTTGGAGAAGAGCTTTAACAGATAAAGAAAAATTGGTAAAGACCATTGCAACATGGAGATGAAGAGTGTTCTGGAAAGGTCAAAGGTTAAACAAACCACTAGATGTCAATAGGCAACACTCACAGATCCTAAATTGTCAAGGTGGATTTCTAAAGCACACAAAAAGGGAAAACTGAAGCTAAAAAACATCTGAATCCAAGTTAAATGACATTTCACGTCAAGCTCGACTGTATAGAATGAAGAATGTCACAAGTCGGGAACAGCTGAGACATGTAAACATCCCATGTTCCTTTGAGTGTGTGTATCTGTTGGAACCTGTATTTTCTGGTTATACTGACATAAAAGATAAAAGAAGATTTAACAAATCAGATGAGCACTGTTCTCAATGTGAAGAAGAGAAACAAAGAGAAAAAAACGTTGGAAATGATCAGAATTAAGCTTAAAATGTCAGCGCGTCTGTCTAAAGGACAGAACTGGAGCTCAGATGATTAAATGGACTGGAATGTTTCTGAGGAGGAATGGAATAACTCATGTCTACTAGCTCAAACGCAAATTATCAACACAAGGTTTAGATTAGTACCATTTAAATGTATATTTTCAACCTATATCAAATGGATAAAATGTCTTTCATCACAGTGGCCATTGTAGGCACATTCTTTCTAAATGTCTTCAGACATAAAGATTGTTTCTTTATATAAAAGAAACAATCTGATAAAGATATTTGGCTGTCGATCAGAAAATAGTTTATAAAGCTAAAACTGGCGAGCCTGATCAGAAAATGTGTTCACGCCCCAGGTTTGACATCGGCCCGATTCTCAACCAGCAGCTCCATCAGGTCCCAGAGAGCTGCACGGCCGATGAGCTGGGAGCCGACCTGGCAACTAAAGGAGCCCATCTGGTGGGTCCATGGAGCGCGCCGTCATCTGGGCGCCAGAACAGCTGAGCACTTACTGTGTTTGACATCTCGATTTCAGCTGATCGATACATTGAAGAATCTGCCCGAAAGGATAGCAAACAAAAGGGAGCAGGGACAGACGGGTGCAACGTTTGGTATGTGGTCGGGGAGCGCACAGGCACTCTCAAAGCACAAATGAAGAAGTCCCCCCAACTCCCCACCCCACTAAGATTTCGGTTTGCTCCTTCAGCTCCCAAAATAGGTGCAGGCCTGAGCTGGGTGGTGTGGGAGGAGCAGACCTGTGAGCAAATCGCTCGCCTGTATCGCGCCATTGGATCCCGGGTAAGGTACCACCAGAAACACCTTTTAGCATGTCTAGCCGTTTTTCAGTGTCGTCGTAATTGTCCTGGTCTGTGTACAGATACCTTTAAGGACTGTGTGGATGGGCCAAACGATGAAACTTCTGAATTTTGTGGGTAAATGTCACATATCGGGTAAGTCGATCGGACATCTTATTAGAATGATTGTTCTCTCTTCCTGAAAATGGTCCGTAGTTAGTATGAGTGCATCTTAACTAATGAATGGTTCCCCATAGATCAGATGCTCCCTTTTCCAACATTGTACAACCTATGAGCTATCATTTTTTCGGCAGATCCAAGAAAAGTGCCCATCCCTGGTTCTGTGTGTTACCAGAAGGAGTCCAATACACTGGCTGTCTGCTGTAAGGTGGGTCCACATTCATAAATCCTCACTAATCATTTTGCTTATATGTTACTTAATGACCTCATTAACGTTCTGTTTTAAATGAGAGCCTTGTTAAGGCACCAGTTTAGGATACTGAGAAGCACATTTCCTCAGTATCCTAAACTGGTGCCGTTACAAGGTTCTCATTTAAAACAGAACGTTAATGAGGTCATTAGGTAACATATTAGCAACTCAAGGAGAAGCACATTTCCTCCTTGAGTTGTGCGTGGATTTTAAGGCTTTAATCCACCAAAGGAAATCTTGGTCGACTAAAACCCTGTATTTTCAATCAACCAAAAGTCAACTAAAAATCGACTAGTGGGGCGTTGGGCAGGGGGCATGACGGCTCTGACAGCGTTTTGTATCACATATATCTGCACAATATAATAGCCTTTGATTACAGAAAACATACTGATACAACCCGTTAATCCATATTTAAAATATTTAAATATGTTTAATATGATATTAATAGCCAATCATATCGAAATATGTTTATACTTGAGCTGTGATATGAAAACTTGTTTGCAAATTCTGCATTCAACGTTTTTTACCGCCCTCTATTTTTGTAAAATTCTGCCATACTGCCAATGTCTTTTGACATGCTTGAAGAATTCACTGTAAATGAATTGCTCAAAATAAGAATAAATGTCAGCAAACCTTTGGATGTTGAAGTACAGGAACATGCTTTGATCTACTTGTGTTTAGTGTGTTGGGCTAATCCAAAAGAGTGAAAATAAGGGGGTTGTTCTCTGAAGACAGGCTCTTACCTGTGAAACAGGGATGCTCTGAACACCCCCATGAGCACTTGGTACTTGGTCCTCCTGATGAAATTAACCATAGACTGGATGAAATGAATGGGCAAATTGGTCAACCAATCACAATTTTGGTCGACCAAGAACATATCGACCAATAAGTTGACCAGTCAAGAAGGACTGTACAACCCTAGTGGATTTGCTGCCTTTTCCAGGATGGCTGGGTCGGGTTCAAGGCGGTGCTCCTGAAAAAAAGGCTGTCAGCTGCTGACTTCTACAACGGCTACCTGCATCACACGCCCCTGAGAAACACGCCTGATCAGACAGCTGAGGGACACTTCTTCAGTGGAAAAGATGGAACTAAAGACATTCAAAAGAGAAAGAACTCAACCTTACGATAGAAGAGCCATGTTCTTGTTTGATATATAGGCTTGGAAATCATATGGGCTGAATTTCTTTCATTCATTTGATGCACTTTTTTGTTAAAGTGACATCACCTTGTATAGTTAATTTATTGTACAAATGTGTTCAATACTTCTTATAAATAAATGAAGTATTAATTAACAGATTTCTTTTGGCATCACCCCTAACCGTTTCCAAACAGGAAGATGAGAAAGCCCCCCCAAAAAAGACAGTCTGTATTGTCATATATTTCTCACACAGTTTCCTAAACTTGTTTATATATATATATATATATATATATATATATATATA